GTTTTGTTGGATAAAGGAAGCTGTACCGTGACTTCAGTCGGTGAGATTACGCAGAGGTTGAAGGTGGTCTTTCAAATTGTGTTTTTCTTGACCTCTGCTGCTACGGCTTTTCTTATCTTAGATGGAGCTATTTCTGCGATATAGTAGATTTTAGAGACTCTGGTAGAATAGTGTCCTGCGAAATAGTACTGCGAAATGTGTGTTGAGGGCACCCAGACAGAAACCGCGTGCTCGGCTGCTGAGAAACTTAGTGCAAGCGCTGAAGTTCGAAGTAAATGTAGATGAGCAAATCCTAAATTGTACCTTGTCAGTTTAAACCACATACCTGGTGTTTTTTGATAACTTTCAGTTTGTCTAATGATCTTGAAAGTTTGCCGTCCGCCTCTGCAAATAATTTTGTGCGCGATGGCCGTGTCACCTGCGTATATGAATTGTTTTGTTTCATGATGTAATTGGCTGATCATTTGTGTAGATCTTGAATAGCAGTTCGTTAATTTAATGTTCTGACACTTTGGAGACCAATCCTTATGGTTTACGCTGTCATACGCTGTAGAAAGGACCAATAACGCTACGCCCGATATTTGCTTTTGTTAAACCGTTCTTAATATATTGTTTTTTATTTTTATATATTTATTTTTGTATAATTTGCCGGTTTCTTGTTCTTTGGTAGTTTTATTCTTGCAGTACTTTTTCCTTTTTGAGTACCATTTCTCCTTTTCTTCTCGTATATTTTTTCTTATTTTCGTATGTGTGGTGGTATATATGTATTTTTGTTTCTATTTTGCGGATTCTCCTTTTTTTCATAAGTTCATGGATTTCATTAGTGGTCCATTCCTTCTTAGTTACTGTTTGCTGTTTTTAAAAGTTGTTTTACATGTTTTTTCTAGACATTTCATACTTCGCGTTAAATTTTTTAAATCATCCAGCACTATAATCTAGTCTTGTCTTCTGGAAAATTCCAGTCATTAAATCCTATGCTCTCGTTATACTTAATCGAGATAGGAAACACGCTAAATTATTGTATGTTAGCTTTTTCAATTGAAATATTTGAACTAATTCAGACAGAAATATTCTTAGAGATGATATAATGAACAACATCGAACTTATCTAGTTCGTATTGTAAAATTTTATCAAAAGTAAATATGAGGTGATTTACGATTTGCATTGCAGATAAAATTAATGTAAATATCAAAATAAATAATTTGTTGTGTTTGTTAAATTATAAATGAATTATTGTTTTCAAATATTTAAACCATAATAGTCTTGTTAAAATGTATATTTATACTTATTAATAATTAAAATGGTAAAACTGACTAAATTTTATCATAGTTTTTTTGTTTCATAACATCAAATTTAGTTACACAGTGTGCCTCTTCCATGTCACGAGATATCTTCGTCTGGTTCTACTTCCTACTGGGTTTTGGAACAGATATTCTGGTGTGGTTTCCAGGTTTCATTCTTAAGTAACATGTAGCCAACCGATCATCTGGTTTATCTTTACTATTTTACTATATGGGGATCATTATAGAGTCTGTACAGTGCACAGTTATATGTTATATCGTTTACGCCATATTGGCGACGTGCAAGTACTTGGAGGGGATACGAGAAACGATCGTGCGCGAGTAGTGGAGAAATCTTGCATTTTTACTGTACATTTAATAGATTATAGATTTCATAAATTCATATTGTCAATTGTCATATTTCATATTCGTTTTGTTTATTTACACCTTCTGTCACTGAAGAAAATGGGATTTAGGAAATGCTGTGTTATAAATTGTAAAAATACAACAAAAAATTGTCAATTTAAGTTTTATTCGTTTCCAACTTCGAAGCACAAATTACTACAAAGAGAAAAGTGGATTTCTATCATAAAAAAGCATAAGTAACATAACCTAAATTATGCATTATTCTTGCGCCCGATTTTAAAGTCAGTTTGAAATAAATAATAAATAAAAGTTCACTTTTAAGTGTAAATTTTAGTTTCATAACACTCACTTAGAGTTCATTTTAACCCAAAAATCAAGTTTAATGTTTGAATTTTATTTTTTTGAAGTTTACAAAAATGCATCAAGTTCAAGTTTTTCTGAAGATGCATTAAGATATATTCGCTGTCCAAAAGTTTACAGGGAAAGAATTAATTGTTCAAACCAATATGATGATATCATGGGCTTAACCTGCTAATTTATGCATTAGCATTATTTATGGTAATTTATTTTTCTTAATTCTTCCACTCCACATAATTCTTCCATTCTTTTTTGACATTTGCCACTACTAAAGCTTTTCCCTTTGACTCGTGCTTGGTTGAAAAGTTATTTGGTGATTTACTTTCTCAAATCCAGTTTTTATTATTGCATCCATATTAACAGTAATGCTGTAATTCAATAATATATTTATTTGTATTTACGCTACATCAACGTTTACCTTTTAATAACATACCGACATAACCTCAATCTTACTTTTTTTTCTTACTCTTTTTTGGGGCCACGTCCTTGACAGTTATCCGGTAACCTCGATCTAACATGAAAGCGCAGTAAATTTGGCTGATTTATGACACCAGGTGTCGCTGTTCCGAACTTGCACGGTCCCAATACCGTTTTCATTACATTCAGTACTTGACGCAATTCCTTACTAAACATTCCATTCCAGCAATTCCTTACTAAACTTTGCCAGTGTCCAGGTTTCAGAACTATATGTTAGCACCAGGTGTATCAGAATTTTATAGAGTTTACCATACCCATACCCATTAAGGGAGCAAACCATATGGCGTTTTATATTATGGCGTTTTATTGCCATCGTGACATCGATCGTGGTTGTTGAGTGAGCCCAAATAAACGAAATCATTGACACATTCCATTTGTGCTTGTTCTATTTGCACATAATGCGATGTTGAACATCACACGATATTGCCTCCTCTTGTCTAAATCTGCCATTAGCTTTAAAGGCTGAGGACAGATTTCCCTCTAAACTTGCCAGACACTTCACTTCACTCCATCGTGAAGGTTCCACCAGATGATTTGGTATTCCCAGTATTGCTTCGGAGTTTTTTTTTTATTTATTATGTCATTAGCAGCCTTAAACTCTACAAACAGATGATGCGTTTCTATGTTTAGCTCCCTTGTTTTCTCCCAATATTTGCCTCGGCCTGGAAATCTGATCTCAAGTCGATTTTCAGTTATAAAACCTGTTTGATAATTTTCAATTTTTGTTTTTCGCAAATGGTTTAATTCGACTACATAAGAGTGTGGAGAATATTGTTTAACGTAATCAGTGTCACACGTAATCAGTGTATGTACTGTATGTAGATATCTACTGAAGTTTTCTCCGCCCTTCTTTTATACAGTGTTGACTACGTAAAAGAAAACAATACAAATACTTCATTGAATATCAATCAGTTAGTCTCTGAAGTACTGGGCGTGTACCACATTAATGAAATATTAAATAATAGTTTTCCCGGTTTCAACAGTGCATTTTCTGAATAATCTGTATGTGTTCCATCTGAATGTACCGAGAGGACAAATGACTTTACATGTCAAGCAGTACGCATATTTGAAGCATAAGAAAGTAATAAACTGGTTATTCTCTTTAATAAGTATTCAAATCACAGGATTAAAACGCTGGTTAACACTAAAACCATCAGGTCAGATCACTAATGTAGGATACTTTTCCATTTCTTCTCCACTTTACATAATTTTCATTTTGTCAATCAGCACGCCCGAGAACATTTTCTACAACCGACTAGTTTATCTGCTCTGCTCGTCGTGAAAACATTCTTATTCGTGTCATAGTAAATAACCAACGTATACAAAACTCTTTTTGATGTGTTAAAAACAGAATCTTTGGACAAGGTCTGAAGGTCAGTAACAACCTCCATTGGGAGTCTTACGTTGCCATGCAGGATATCTGTTAAATACTTAACATGACATTTTGCAATTCTTAAAGCTTTTTACCCAGATATTTAGTGGATTGACTCTTGGTAAGTTTACACTGATGATGGACTCTTTAGTCCGCAAACGTTCTGTGATGTAGCCTATAGGATATTTTAATTATATACCTTTTATAAAGGATCTTTGAATAAAAAATTGTGTTAAATTATACCATTTCAACGGAAACATATTGTTAATTTACCATTGTATGGCATATAATATTGAATTACCATAATTTTCCTTTTATCTTCTCAGTCTCGTACTTCTCGCTGTATTCGCCATGTTCCTATATGGATCAGTTGGTAATTTTGAACGGAAATTTTCTGTAAAAACCTTCGTAGCTTCGGACTGCGCGCTGTATTTTTCCATCATCTCCGGAAGAATGTTCCATAACTGTCTTGGAACACCGGTATCTCTTGAACATCCTCTTATACCGAATATTGGACGAAAAATAGTGAAATTTAAATTTACTTTTCCAAAGCTACGTAATTATACTAATTATAGTTAAGGTAACTGAAATACTACATTTGTACAACTTATCATCGCAGTTATTTTACAGTAAAACGTTATCATTTATTACTTAGAACAATGACCAAATGGGTGTATATTTACTCAGTTTAAATATTTGTGATTTATATTTGCTCTACATACGCTCTAACACTGTTTCTGCGATATTAAAATATTAAAAATGACTACTAAGAATGTAAGAATCAATAAACGCCCTTATCTAGCATGACACGTCAATATATACTTTTGCTGTAATAAATTATAGTAATGATTACAACCAATCCCAAATAAATTATATAAAAATACGAACAAGAAACCTTAACGATTTTTACCAAAATATACCATCAAAAATGTCCTGGTATTTTTTACTTTGTTAGTCTTATGTTTTAGCACAATAAAAACAGAAGTTCTCAAACTGTTCTTACGACATATGTTTAAGTTAGATATTATTTTATGTGGGATTAAACCATAATTGATTATAATGGAAATTAAATTTTACCATATATCAAATCTCTTTAAAACTAAAACTTTATTTGTCTGCGATACTAAATTATTTACTTTTTGTTACAGCTAAGGGGCGAAAATGCCTGAGGATAAGAAAATGGCAGTTGATAATGATACTCTTTCTTCCAAAAAGTCTTCCACTATTATCCGTAGTAGTGGAAGCACCACGGCGCAGGTTACTATGCTAGATGGTTCGATTTTGCCTATTGTTATAGACGTAAGTAGACTCTTCTTTACTGTTCTATTAAATTAAATGTATTGGAAAACCGTAAAACCAAAATTGAAGTGAAAATTAAAAAAATAGGATAATGTAGGCCAAGAGGGTGACCACCCAAAAATGGTAAAAACATTTTTAATATGTGTTGACTATTTTGCGTTTCTTTCTTTACATTGATAAGTTTCTTTTTTTATATCTTATACCGTCTTTTATTTTAATTTTTGATTTTCCTTCAACATACTACTGATACCCTACTGAGATGTGTTTTCAATTTTTTAACTGCTTCTTGCCAACTTGTGAAATCGTGACATATTTCATTCAGTGCTCACCGAACCTCCAAAAAGTACACAAATAAAGTAACATTATTGCGTTCAGCAAAATCTTCAGTTTCAACTTTGAAACTGTCACTGTCCAGTTCTTCTTCTTGTTATTGGTTGTGAGTCGTATTTGTTCGTAGTACCAGTTATATATTGGAAGTACATATTTATCTGCCAAAGACATCACATTTGCTATTTTTTTCTGGTTTATTTTAAGTGGAAATGTGTTGTAGAGTTTAGTACTTGGCCAAACTAAAACTGCATTAGGTTTTTTGATGACAAAATGGTGAATATAGCATGATACCTACTGTAACAGTACGCTGTATTATGATTTTTCTTTCATATTTGAAAAGACGATGCTTGGAAATATGTAAATCTTTCTTTTTGTTGGTTACTTATGACTTTTTTAAAAATAGCTTTAAAAGTATTTGAAAAATCTGATCAATCAAAAATTGAAACTGTTTTGATGTTGTCTTGACTAATTTTTTTCCATTAGAATTATACTATTTCATTTTTTCGTTTTTCTTTTTCAATCCGACCAAAGTAACGGTCGCAAACTGAATATTACTATTGAAAGCATTCATGAATATATGAAAGAACTGCACTATATTGTTTGTAACGATAAGACTACCAAAGAGAATTGAAGTAATATTGTAAAAATAATACTTCAATCAACAATGGGAGCTTATCGTCTATACCTTGCCTAGCTCAGTATCTCAAGGGTGAGTTCGTGTTGTCTTAAAATAGGGATTGAACCTGAGTTCTCAGTTGATAACAAATAAGACAAATTTTAACAAAACATATTTATTTAGAATAAAAAAATACAATAATTAACCCTGCTAAAGCTTAACAATTGATAAGTGATACTTATTGCTTCGTTCGATGGGCTACTTGTTTATTCTAGCTGCTAGGTCCTCCAATGGAATGTTGTAATATCGGAGAGCTGCAGTCACACGTGGTTGTATTTTCTGATGTGGTCAATAATCCCAGTAAATCCAATAAGGCTGTCAATAAGCCCAATAAAATGTAAATATTTCCAATAAAATTGTGAATATTCCCAATAAAATGTTGAATATTCCCAATAAACTAAAACACAAAAGGAATAGGAGCATTAGAGACACATCAAGAGGAGTTTAACTTCCTTGCCATCTTACAAAGTTACAATTAAACAAATAGTGTATGGCAAGGATAAAATGAGATATGATTGTTACTATGATTGTTAGTTAAATTCTGTTAAAGAGTCCTAATGCATATATAAAAAAACAATGTGCTTTCGAAAGAAAGTAAGCTTACAAGTATCGAAAATGCGGTCAGAATTGTAGAATAAATTTCACAATGAAAGTACTTACCCCAAGAGAATTTGTAGACCATAAAATGAGTCTAATTATAATTTTTGTCTTCTTTTATAAAGATCAAAGAGGCAAAAAATAATATTCCCATTACATTAGAACATTTAAGTGACATAAAGTGGGAGACTGAAATGAAGTTAGCACAGATGTCACAGTATGTTGCTATTTCATGAAACTAGCTTGTCTGTCAACACAGAACACAAAGAGAGTGGGCGAATATTTATTCTACGTGACAGGAGGGAGTAAATAATGACAGGAAGAAATAAAAAACAGATTAAGAAAGAGAGGGCGCCAACTATTTTTAAATAAAAAAATAGTAAAATTAAACTGAAGATAGAGAAATTAATAAATTAATCTTCTTTGTCAACCATTTATAATAAATTAATAAAGAAATTAAAATGAAATAATTATTTAAATATAAATTAATAGAGATGTGACGTTTATAACGTTACATGTTATTTTTGTTTTGGACAAAACAGTTGTCCGAAAAAAGGGTTGAATCAGTTTCCGGGATAAAGTTTGTTAAATAATGATGTAAAAAACTTACCACTTCGTTACAAAATTTTTTGGCAGTGAGTTCATCGTACATATAAAAAGTAGCCACTCTTTTCTTGGCAGAATGTTTTGTTGGCAGAATGTTTTGTTGGCAATGAAAGCATAAGACATCAACTGATTTATCTTTGCCAGCAAGATTGGTATATTTCCTTAATTTGGTATAAAATATTTCGGCCTTCAGTAAGTGTAGACGCTTTTCAATTTCCATGCGAGTTTTAGTTTCTGCATTGACTTCTGTGGCAATTGTGTTATTTAATCGGTCACATTTCTGGCAAGTATTTGATCTGGGATAACCAAAACTAAGATTACGATTGAGATTTAATTGCCGGTGATAAAAATCATATGTTACTAGTGGCTTAATGTCCTTTAAATATTTCTCGTCTTCTAGGAGAACATACTTTTCTGGCTCATATTTTTCAAGGTACAGGCACATTTTTGCAACATTCAACTCAGGAAATAAAAAATACCTTTTCTGATTATCTTTCCCACTATAGTAAGATTTTCTTCTGGGAAAACTCCGATTATGTTCCTCGATTTACGCTATTATTGCTTCACTGATTTTGTTTGGTCTATTGGAATGCTTCCCACGCTTATCGGAAGGTGACATAATACTACCCAGAGTCAGATTTTTGGCAATCTGAGACACTCTGTTTTTCGATACTCTATGCAAAGAGCAGAATGACTTTTTCATATTATGGTTTCCTGACTTCCTACACGTAACATAAAAAAAGGACATTTTAGAACTATTATAGTTTGTAACAAAAATATTACCTTATACTTATAGGTGCTGTTTTTTTCTTCACCCTCTCTTGTAGTCGGGCGTTTCCTTTGCACCTTTGACACGCTGATTAATCCTTCAAGATAAATGTCTTGTTTAGTTTTATCTCCCGTACTATAAAACTGCTCAAGTATGTTCTGTTTGTGGGTGTCGTCTATTTTAGTTGAAACATATTTTTCCACAATGGTAATTTGGTCCAGTAGTTTTCTTTTGAATTACTTTTTTTGTCGAATTAATATATTCTTCCCCTGTAGCCCGTTTGAACGGGCTATAGGGGATTATATATAATATATACGTATATAATTAACGATGAAGATTTTAATCAAAAAAACTAACGAATATCATATCCCGCTATACATGGCATTTATTGACTTTGAGAAGGCATTTGATAGTGTGGAACACTGAGCAGTACAGAATTCCCTACAAAACAGCAGAATAGACTACCGATATACCGACTTAATTACAAATATACACAATAAGGCAACAACAACTACATATTAAGCTAATGAAAGAAACGGAGCCTATTAAAATAAACCGAGGAGTAAGACAAGGAGATACCATCTCGCCCAAGTTATTTAACCAAGCGCTAGAAGATGTTTTTAAACGACTACACTGGGATGACTTGGGAATTAATATAAACGGGCAAAATCTGAATCATTTACGATATGCTGATGATATTGTATTAATAACAGAAAAAAGTGAAAAATTACAAAGAATGATGGAAGAACTAGATAGAGAATCGACAAAAATTGGACTCAAGATGAATTATAGTAAAACAAAAACCATGACTAATCAACCAGAAGAACTTATAATTACAGTGGCACAAACAAAAATAGAACAAGTAAAAGAGTATATATCTAGGCCAAATCACTAAATTAAATAAAGAAAATCAGACCGAAGAAATAAAGAGAAGAATAAGATTGGCCTGGGCATCATTCGGAAAACTGTCTTATATTCTAAAGAATTCAAAATACTCCCAATACTTAAAAACGAGAGTCTTCAATCAATGTATACTCCCTGTCCTCACATATGGCTCTCAGACATGGACGTTTACAAAGGAAAATATGGAAAAAATAGCAAAGACAGAAAGATCCATGGAAAGACAAATGCTGAACATTAAACTATCAGACAAAAAAAGAAACGAATGGATCTGTAATAAAACAAAAGTGAAAGATGTCTCAACCCAAGTAGCAAAGCTTAAATGGAAGTTCGCCGGACACACCCTAAGGCAGAAAGATGAAAGATGGACTAAAACAATTATACATTGGAGACCATGGAATCACAAACGTAAAAGGGGAAGGCCACAAATGCGATGGTCAGATGACCTGAAGAAACACGCCGGATCAAAATGGATGAAAATTGCCCAAGATAGAGAGGCATGGAAGAAGGATTAGGAGGCCTATATCCAAGGATGGATGTTAAGGGCTGTATAGATAGATAGATAGCCCGTTTACTTTTCATAACGTTTCGTTTCCAGTTGCTTTCCATCCTTATCCGATTTTTGCCTTTTTTGTTAATGGTTTGAATGTTTGAAGTTTCTGTATTATTACACACACACACACACACACACGTTTGTTGCTGTTCATTATTTTCATTTGTACCTATTTGAGCCATAACAACATGCTTTGCTCGACGTCGACTAGGTCCCGGAACATCAGAATCGGAGGAATCTGATAACACGTAGTCAGTCTCTGAATCTACATATAGATCTTCTTCACTAAATTTACTACTTGAACTAGTATTCATAATGTAACGATCTTTATACACTTTATTCGTACCTCCGACAAACTACTGCAATGTTCAAATCAAATAATTGAAGTGGTATGCTATTCGGTTTGTCATCGCCCGTGGTCTGATTCTCCGATGTTGCCAATATTGCCATTGGTGACAAGAAACCATCGAGTTAGAATCTGGAGAAGCTATAAGCATATTTACTTCTTCTTCTGGTAGCACTACAACCCGGGGTGGGTCTTGGCTGACTGCACAACCTGCTTCCATCTCGAACGGTCGTCCATGATGTTTAAGTCGGTGGGTAGCCTCATTGTTCTCAAATCTGACCATATATTATCTCTCCATCGCATTCGTGGACGTCCTAAGGGCCTTCTCCCTGTCGGGACTTCTTCCCAGATTAACTCGGTAAGGCGGTTATTAGGGAGCCTATGAACATGGCCAGCCCATCTTAGACGTTGGAATTTAATCTCTTGGACTACGTCGCTAGTACTATACATTTGTTTGACCTCGGCATTTGTTCTCATTGGTATTGGTCATTTGTTCGGTATTGGTTAGTATTCAGATCGTGATAGGGACCGAAGATCTTTCTGAGGATTTTTCTCTCAAAGCATCTGAGTTTACTTTCCATTGCTTTGTCAGCGTCCACGTCTCACACCCATACATGAGCACCGGTCTAATTACTGTTTTATATATCCTGATTTTTGATGGTCGTGTTAGGCTCTTGGATTTAATAGTGTTGTGGAGGCTATACATACATCTGTTTGCTGCCTGAATTCTCCCTTTTATCTCTTCCGTGATATCGTTATCTGTGGTGATAGTCGCTCCGAGATATTTAAAACTCTCCACTCTTTCAAAGTTATAGGGGTCTATTGTTACATTTTGTCCTATTCTATCTCGTCTCTTTTGTCTGTTAATGCACATATATTTGGTTTTCTCTTCATTGACCCTTAGACCGGTATTTTTTGCCTCTCTCTCTAATTTATTGAAGGTTTCTTTTACATTGGTGACGGTATTTCCTACAATGTCAATGTCATCCGCGTATGCTAGTAGTAATTTTGGTCCATTTACTATCAGTAGTTCTGTTATAATTTGTGCGGTTCTTACTACTTTTTCCAGGATTATATTAAAAAGAAGAGGTGACAGCGCGTCTCCTTGTTTCAGTCCACTGTTTATTTCAAACGACTCTGACAGCTTGTTACCTATCCGCACTCTAGATCTACAGCCATTTACATAAACAAATGAGCATATTTACCTGTGTATTAAAAACGGTAGGTGGGTGTGGCTAACGATCATACCAATATGGCGGTGGGATCAGGGCCAGACTCAATAATATTAAAACTACTATACAAATATGACTCGTTATTCAGAAGATTTAATCATAATCTAAAAAAAGTGCGATACATTTTTAATAAACTATGATTTATTTATCGCGCGGTAAACGCTAAAAACACGATGTATTATACATAAAGATAAATTAATACAGTCAAATAACAAGTTATATCTGAAAGAGATAATAATATAAATAATATTTTAAAGGGTAAAATGAATATACTATATGAAATAACAGTAGGTAACAGTTATAAGATTTTTTATGAGTACTATTAATTTATTCTCTGAAGTACGGGCCATTACTTTATTTACATATTTGTATACTAGCCTGTGGAACGTTATTCCTGAAGATTTTTTATTAACATTGCTTCTGTTACTGTAACTAAGTTGAGAACAAGAAACCATTATTATGCACTATCACAATATAATATTACAGTTTTTATAAAAGTATTATAAAACTAAAAATATTCGAAAAACAACAAACGTAAACAATCATACACGATCTGTCAAAACGATCATACCAATATGGCCGAAGTGAGGTCGTTTTTAGTCACGTGATGCCCTCTCCATAGATTCTAACTCGATGCAAGAAACAGTTATCTCCTGGAGTTGACCGATTCTGGCACCTAAGTACTCGTATTTTTTTATGCAGTCAACTCCTTACCCCATGCATTTACCTTAATATTTATTGGGGATTTCTTGCACCAGAAGATGTGCAAACGTTGTTAATATACGATGCAAATATAAACTGAATTCAGGTAAAAAAAAATGGAGTTGACTGGGTTTTACACCGAACCTTTCAATTTCATCTTGTTAATCACAGTGCCGAAAGTTGTCGATAACACAGTGCTAATTTAATTTAATAGTAAACTACAGTGCCGGCTTGTTTTTTTTTACAATAAAGATTCTTTTTACCATTAATTATTATACATATTATAACATTAGGTATTCTACACCTAATATTATAATATTAGGTTTAGAGTTTCTCTTAACTCAAGTTAAGTTCTAATCTAGTAAAGATTTGATTTCTTGTTTTATTTGATTTTAAATTAACGGCAACTATCATCTTACTGATCAATTAAGGTACTGTTTAAGTTTGCATGTAACTGTATGTTAGAGAATTATAAAAGTCTGTTTTATTTTTATGTATATCTCAACCATTTGTTGAAATGAAGTGTTTCTTTTGACATTTCCATTTCAACAATTTGTTGAAATAAATTGATTTTGTTTTAAACTGACTTATTTATTTATTCTACTACTAAGAAGTCCCCTGATTAAATATTAAATTCAAACAGTTTGATAATTATATTTCGACCAGAAATAAAGATCAGGCTGTGTAAGTCTTACGTTAGGTTAAGTTAGGTGTAACTTCCATATCTTTTACATTTTCTGCACCCAAAACGTAAATTGTTGTTAAAGGTAGGGTTTCTTAATTTCCTCCGTTTATTTACATAAAGTTAAGTGGCATCATTTTTCTATCTTTATCTTTTTATCTGTGGTAATCTCATCTTATCTATCCATCTACCTATCCTATCTTATCTGATCTCTGATAATTTGGGAGAGCATTTTAATAATTAGCAGTAAATACTGCTACTCTTTACTGCTAATTCTAACATATTACATGCATAAAGTATTATAATTAATTTTAGTATTCAGAGAAAATTTTATTTTTTTAGAAAAGAGCCAAAGGAAAGGATCTTCTGGACAAAGTTTGTGAAGCGATAAATTTAATAGAAAAGGACTATTTTGGACTTGTGTATGCCGATAGACACGATCCTCGTAATTGGTTGGACCTAGAAAAGAGAATAGGCAAGTTTATGAGAGGTAACCCCGTGTTTTGCTTTTATTTTTATTTTTATTCCTTACATGTGTTAAATAACATTTGCTTGTAAACAATTCAAAAGGTGATTCGTGCAGATAGTAATATTTACACATTTTTGTTTATTATTAAATAGTCGTCTGCATGTGTTTCTAGGACAATCACCTTTTTGTGTTTTTTACAAAGATAATGTAATAATTGTTCCTCTTTATTTTTGCAGTTTCAGCATGAAAAGTATTTTTCCATATATGTTTTGCGTGTGAGAAATCTGTTTTGTCCTTTAATGTCTATAGCTCATTACAACTGGTGATGTGTTTTCAAAGCTGCTAACAATTATGTTTAATTTTTACATTACATTAAAAATAATCAGTATTTCTTAAGAACTTCGAAAGGCAAAAAATATACATGGTGGTCCACTTGAAATAAGAAAGTGAATTAGATTTACAGAAAACCATAAGATCTGACAACAATATAAATACCACCGTAATATCGACCGAATCATAAGACCCGTACACACCACAATCTTTAAAAATCGTGCAAGCTGTTTCCGAGATAATACGCGCCGTTTCATACTTAAAACTCACTCTGTATACAGTGGGTGATCAAATTATTAGAGCCATCCCATAAAATTTTACTTTTTGTTTAATAATGATATGTAATTGGGCTGTAAAACATATTTTTGTGCTTAAATCTATTTTAGAACCTTATAGTTTTACAAATATTAAAAAAGAAAAGAGAAATTTCACGAAAACACTTAAAATTATGCCTTAAGCCTAATACTTGGTAGTATCACCCTTTGGACCTATGACACCTTCTTGGTAGAATGCATTTCTGGTAATTTTATTAAGCTGTTCCACTACTGTGCCATACTGCTATTAGGCGATAGATCAATTGCCGCTTTATGGTTATAATTTCATTAGACATTTATTTCTTCATGAGCTTCCAAATATTTACTATTCGATTCAGATCTGGCGAATTGCCAGGCCACGCGAGCACCTTTGTCTGCTTGTCAGCAAGCAATTTTGTAACAGTTTTTGCCTTGTGACAAGGTGCCGAGTCATATATAAATGCGAAAATCTTATTCGGGACCAACTCCTGGACCTGGGAAAGCATTTTTGTTTGCAGTACTCTCAAGTACTGGTCCTGTCACATTCTTCCTTCGACAATATAGAGACTAATAGTTACTTGACTGCTCATGATAGACCACACCATGATGCTCAGGGGGAGCTTTACCGTCCTTACAATATAATCCGCTTTGTATTTTTCCCATGTCTTCCAGTCACAAATTCAGAAGTATTGATGCCAGACACCTGCATCATTTTTGTTAAAATCCTTCGAAATTGTTTTCTGTTTGCCAAGACAACATCTCGAATTTATCTTTCATCTCGTGGTGTTGTAATTTTCGACCATTCGTCAAGTTTTTTTCTTTATACGGTCCACAGTTGTCCTTCAAACTTAAGAAATTGATGCTATTTCTCTCTGTTGGACTGATTAGTGTTCAATAATAAAGTTTTTATTTCCGCTATTTCCTTGGTGAGATGTCTTTAGCTGTTCCCATGATGTTCTAGTACCACTGGTGTATAAAACGAACATGAAATGTTTGCTAAATTTACAAAAAATAATATACGACTGTCATAATATCACTAGAGAGCATTGAAACTATTTATTATGACTCTAAATACCAAGAATACAAAATAATATGCACACGAGTTGCAAGCTAGGCTGGACAGCACTGACAAACAATGTCATCTGAGTCACCTATTGCCACGCCCACTTTTGGCAAACTATTTTGTAAAACTATAAGATAATTAAACGCATTAATACATTATACAGCTCAATTATATACTCTTTTTGTAAAAAAATTAATTTTACTAGGTGGCATATATATAAATAATAGTGAACAATTAAAAGCATGATTCTGCAAACGGTAAATTATAATAGATTGAACCAGGGGCTTCCAAGAACCCCATAAAATAATTTTCCAACAAAGACTATGCAGAGGAGTTGCCAAGTTCAAAATTGTATACGATATATTAAGAAGATCAAAGACAACATACTGTTGGTGTTCTACCACTTGGAAGTGTTTCCAAACATTAAAAGCTAGTGGTAATCGAAACATCAAAATATACTTATTTGAAAACAAAAATTGTGGTAATTCCCATTAAAGAAAATACATACCGATTTATTTGTATGTTCACTTTTCACAATTATACTTAATATTCAATTCTGTCATATTGATATAACTTAAAATTGTCCTCTCTTTCAGCGGAACCATGGATGTTCAGCTTCGAAGTGAAATTTTACCCTCCAGACCCCGCTCAATTGCAGGAGGACATTACTCGCTACCACCTGTGTCTTCAAATTCGAAACGACATTTTAAACAATCGTTTGCCTTGTTCTTTTGTTACTCACGCGCTCTTAGGATCATATCTCGTCCAATCCGAACTAGGAGATTACGATCCAGAAAATATGGGGAAGAATTACTTGAGCGAATTCAAATTTGCACCGAATCAGACTCCGGATTTAGAACAAAAAGTTATGGAGTTACATAGAACTCACAAGTAAGTAAATGTTTCTCATCATTTTAAGTAACACGCATGACATAACACATTATTGATCTCACGCATCTTGATTTTTTCGATAGGGCATTTGGATCAAAAAATGTCAAATTTTTACTGCTAAGCTGGTATCGATTTTTTTGCGTTTTAACCCCCCTGCGAGGAGGGTTTTAGGGGGAAGCCCGGGGAAAAAGTGGTGAACTGTTTTGCATCTTTCTTGGGGTCCCAAAATTACTATTCTCTGGAAAATTCAGCTTGTTCGTATGATTTTTGGGGTCAACTCTCTGTCGACTGGACTGAACTATGTATTTTATTTAAAATCCACAAGGAAAACAATTCCTGTAGCTGGCTGTATACCCCGTATCACAAAAAAAGGAGGTAGTCTTCGTAAGTGGGTATATTTATTTAAAAACCCTTAAAAGGATTACATCAAAAAAATAAACGTTTTCGAACTAAACAGTCCATCATCAGGTTTAAAATCGCTAGGTTAAAATGCCTGAGCCACCAAAAATACATGGGTAAAAACCTTTTAAATTACATAGAGTTATAAAAGATTATACATCTTGTTGTTAAAAAACTGTGATGTTCAGTAATAAATTAAATATGACTTCAGGTAAAATACATTGCAAAAATTGAGTTCCAGAGCCGGGGAGAAAACCTCTACGCACGGAGAACAGCTGGAAACTGAGCTAGAAACTAACTATTTCCGAGCTGGAAGTAAAATAAAATATTTCCAGCTGCATTTGTGGTTAAAAATTTATTAATAAAATTACATTGACATGAAGATTTAATTGGATCATCTACCAGTGCCTTAATAATTAGTTAATGTTATTATTTTTGCGAGTTGTGATGAACTGGTTACATGCCTCTTCAAATGCAGAAGCTAGTGGTAGTCATTTGAAGCTAGAACAGAACAACGTATCTTCCATCATAAGTGAAGACCATCTTCCATCATTCCAGATCATAAACTATTGTACAGCTATTTTTCTTAATACTAATCGGTGCACTGTGCAAACACATATTTAATATGTCCGCTATCCTCTTGATTTCGGCTGAGACGTTTCAGCTGCTCTTTTGTTTTTTCTAACAGGTGCAGATAACGCATGGCACTGCATGGATCATATTTTAAAACGATACACATGCCATTTTTTACTCATTTCCAATTTATACTTATAATATTAGTCTTCGAATTTGTGAAAGTTTATAATAATTTAAAGAAATTCCATTCAATTGTCTTCTTCTTAGTCAACAGCTGGATTTATTTTATTTCTTTTCTCGGAAATAAGCTTTCCCATTTACATTTCTAAGAAATTCTAAAGCCATACAGTATACTAACTCAATAATAAATACTTTTAGAGCCTTTAAGACGATTGAATGCCCCTATTATTTCTACATATTTTGTTCTGCGACAATTAAGAACGTAATTCGTGTATCATTTATTTTATTTTATAGACCCATGTCCGTATGATGTATATTTTTCTTTTATAATTTTAGGGGACAAACACCTGCAGAAGCTGAATTACATTACTTAGAGAACGCTAAAAAATTAGCCATGTATGGGGTTGATTTACATCCCGCAAAAGATTCCGAAGGAGTTGATATTATGTTAGGTAAGATTATTTATTTTAAAAGTGTAAATTATTTACAAAGGTTTAAATTAGTTTTGGTCTAACAAAATTTCATGAACTTGACTCATTTGATGACATCAATCTATGAATGTAACTATGAAATCCGACATTACTGAAAACATTTAATTGTCTACAGGGCCTTTTTATAGCAAGAAAGAGTCAAACTAGTTTTTTGCACTAGTAAAATAGTTGGAATATTTATTGTTTTTCGTCTAACAGTCGTTTTTCATACTTTATATAGAATTCTGTATGAAATTAAAATAGTTAATGTTTTAGAATTCATTTTTTTTTTTCGGTACGCGTATACTAAAAGTTCATGGAGTTTTGAAACAACACTTTCATTAACCCATTCATGCCCAGAACTATTTATGCTCATTTTTTTATATTCCTGAAAAATTTATGCTCTGAAAGCCACAAAATTTACAAAAACAAATAAGTTTAAAAAATGAAAAACTTGAATTTTTTTGATAATTGGCTGTTGCGAAAACACAACACTCGGCAGTTAGGATGTAAAAAAAAATTTAAATACGTTGTTTGGAATGTTTTGTTAAATCATATAAAAGTGTTTTAAATAAACTGACATCAAAATAATATAAAAAAAAAATGTTGCGTATTACTATGAAATTAGTAATACATTTTTCATGCAAGGCAACCTTACATTTAATACATTTTTTATTGCTTGTTGAGTGACAAAGGACACATGTTTTTCTTAAGTAGAAATAAGATGGCCAATGTTGTCGAATCAAACATCTTGTGTAATGTTGTTTATGGAAGATTGAGATGGATTACTTCTTGGAAGAGTTTCGAACTTCGTCAACAAGGCTTTGGTTATATTTCGACGAAACTGCAGCAAATCCTTTTCGGATTGTTCAGGGATGATGTGTCTCATCCCAGATAAATAAAGGCCAATACCATTTCTTGGATCTTATATTTGTTCTGTAATAGGCAACATTTTGATCCATCCGATCAGTTCCTCCCGTATTTTCGCCCGAATAAGATGTGGTTATGTTATTTTGATTTTTTTGCTTTGGGCAAAGGAGTATCTGGTAATTCAATGTCAAAGTAACTTTGGCTCAAGTACCAAAGTGTGCTATTGTCATTCCCCCTACATAAGCACCTTATTTTTCTCGTCGTACTAATTTTCGTAAATTACACGTATGGATTTTTTAAACGTTTCACTGAATGGACACTTTTTGTTCTCTTCGATCGTATGGTTTTTACGTAACAGATTCCCATCATCATCATATAACGGGGGTCCTACGGCGATTGCCGCTTCCCGCATTTCAGCCTCCATCTTTTCCTATCTCTCCAATCTCCCTCTTCTAAGCCTCTAGATTGCATTGTTTTTGTAATTTCTCTTCTCCGGGAATTTGGTGGTCTTCCCCTTTTCCTTCTTTCTGGCGGAACATACATTAAGGCTTTCTTTGGCCACCGCTCCTCCTCCATTCTCATCACGTGACCATACCATTGTAATTGCCTTCCTTGTATTCTATCTGAAAGAGTATCTCTAATTCCTGTACGGTTTCGTATTTCCTCATTCCTGATTCTTTCCATTCTCGATACTCGACATGACCTTCTAAGATAATCCATTTCTACAACGTCTACTTTATCTCGTTCATTCTTTGTCATCGTCCAACATTCGGCACCATATGTGGTAATTGGTTCTACAATTGCTCTGTATACGCGAAGTTTGGTATGCATCTTTATTTTATTAGACCACAGTATTGAATTCAGTATTCGGATGCATTTTTTCCCTTGGGTTATTCGGTTTTGTACATCTATCTTAACTCTGCCATCTGCTGATATGATGCTTCCTAGATATTTATACTGGTTGCAGCCTTTTATGACTGCGTTTTCAAGCCTCAGATCTGTGGTATTTCCTCCAATTTTTAAATATTCTGTTTTGCTTATGTTTACAGTAAGCCCCCATTTGGCATATTCCTCAAATAATTTTCGATTCATATAATTTATATCTTCCTCATCGGTTGCAACCACCACCTGATCATCTGCAAACAACAATGTATACAGAGTTTCTTGTCCCACTTCGATGCCCATAAATCTACATTTATTTCTCCAATTCCTCAATGCTTCTTGGACGTATATTTTAAAGAGTGTCGGTGACAAACAGCATCCTTGCTTTAGGCCTTTAGTGACTTTAAATTCACTTGAGGTTCTGGTTCCAATTTTTACACAACTAACTGCATTTTCGTACAATTTATATATCGCTCGGATATACGTCGAATCCAATCCAGACCTTTTGAGGACCTCAAACATTTTCTTTAACGGGACACTATCATATGCTTTCTCAAGGTCTATAAATACCAAATGGGTCTCTCTACTTCTTTCGACACGCTTTTCAATTATTTGTCGTAGGATAAATATATTATCAAGGCAGGATCTCCCGGTACGAAAGCCGCTTTGTTCTTCAATATCTTGTATCTGTCTTTCAACCCTCTTCTTTAATATTCTGCCGTACAACCAGCCCACAGAGCTCGTCACACTAATACCTCTATAATTGGAACAGTCTCTTTTATTCCCTCTCTTATATATGGAGCTTATATAAGATTTATTCCAATCTTTAGGAATTTCCTGGTCTCCACACATACATTTATTGAAAAGGTCTACTATTAATTCTAAAAGTGCAGTCGGCCCATATTTAACCAGCTCTATGGGAATGTCTCCAGGCCCTGCGGCTTTTCCGTTTTTAACCTCTTTTAAGGTTTCCGTCAATTCAGATAATGTTATTATAGGGATTTCCTGTCTTTCGTCTCTGTTGTCTATTAATTCCCTTATCTTTTCCCATCCGTACTCTACTCTATCCTCTTTCAGCAGTTTCGTATAATATTCTTCCCATTCATTTAACTTTATGAGAGAAATGTTGTCTTCATTTTTCTCATTTTTCCTAAACTGTTTTAATGTTTTCCAAGCTTGCGCCACTTTTGTTCCACCCATAAATCTGTCTAGTTCATCACACTTAGCCCCCCAGTTTATATTTTTCGCCTTATCCACGTCTTTTTTAACTTCTCTATTCCATTTAGCGTATATTTCTCTGTCTTGAGGATCTTTGGATTGAAGACATATGTGATATGCTCGTTTTTTCTTGAGAACTTTCTCTTCTAGTTCCGTTGACAACCATTCAGGTTTTCCTTTTTTCCGATTTTCAACTTTTCCCAGTGCTTCATTTGCCGCTTCATGAATATATTTTTTAATTACCTCATACAGACTTTCGGGGTCCAAGTCCTTTGTTTCTATATTTTTTATTTTCTGAGCTATTCTAATTTTATATAAGAACTTTGTCGAATCTTGTTTAAAGCTTTCCAGGTTATATTTTATGTTTTCTATGGTTGTTCCTATGTCTGTTACTTCATCATTTTTGTGACTTGATTGTTCTCTCTTAAATGTCACCATTACTTTTGCAATAATCATATGGTGGTCACTTCCACATTCTGGCCCTCTAAACACCTTCACGTCCTTCGTTTTTAGTTTAGAAACTATTCCCTTCGATATTAAAAATCAATTAGTTTAGAGGTGAAATAATTATCAGCATATAAGTAATGAGGCATCGCATTGAATTTTAGGAATAAGTTGAACAAACTGCAATATTATTCCACCTCCAAAGCCAAATTCTTTTTGTATTCATTAGATTTTCCCTTGGCTCCTTGATAAATATTGAAATCTATGAGGTAACCAGATTTTTGATTCCAACACCACGATTTATACCCAAAGCGTATGGGCTTGCCTTTTATATGTTGTCTCATATCATGACGTCAAAAGTATGGTATCATGGCCTCATCCACGCTAGATTCGGTTTCTCATACAGTCTATTCAGAAAATGATTTGCGGAAGACACGGAGAAATTTTGTATGTTTTGTCTGAACGACCTATGTTTAGGTTAATCGTCAAATTGGTGGAGGAATCTTATAATGGTTTCAAATCGGTTACAACGTATACTACTTGAAATCAGTATATTTTTAACGTAATTTCTTCCGCGTCTTCTTGGATTCGTGCTGTACCCACTAAGTAGTAAAATCCCTATAAAGGTTTTTAAATCGTTTACTCCAAATTCTAAAGTAGTACCTTTTTGAAGATCATAACAAACTGTCTCCTTTACAATATTTGTTAAAAGCTCTTCATTGAAAAAAAAATCAAAGTTCTATAAAGGAGTGAATCGTCGTGAATAAAATGAAGGAGTGTATGTGTTCCATTGAGTTTTTTATGTTCAATATCGAAATAAAGGAAATTTTCATCAGGTAAATCTCCTTGAGTCCATTTCCTTTGTAGGAGAGTTACACTTTTGGCACGAATCTCAGTAGATGCCACTTGAATGTCTTGAATTTCATCATTTTGTGTCTCCATTTCTGTTTCTCTTTCAATCTTTTCCCTACCTTCTTCCTGAACTTGTGTCACTCTTTAAAAATCTGCCTCTTTTTCATATAAATTTATATTATCTTCGTCGAGTCTTTTATCTTCTTGATGAATTACAGCTTCTGATTCCACATCCAACATATTTTTGTTTAGGTTATTGAATGTTCCTCCACAATCTTCATCTCCATTATCTTCATCAGTCAATTCAGTCAGGTTAGGAGGTGCTAGGAAACATCTGCACTGGAAGTCAACTCCATAAGGTTCGATTCTTCCAGCATAGACATAATTTTGTGTTCCCTTGATTCGTAAAAAGTTTTTTTTATTACAACTAGTGCGAGTGAAACTGGTCGAGCCAAGTTGATTTGGCATCTTATTTCGAAAACGCAACACTGTTAATTGAGCAGTTGTACCAACTAGCACAAATAAAATAACAGCACTTGATAGATATATCTTTTTTAATGATTTAATAATACGTTGCTACCAAAAACCAAATTTTTATCCAGTTAATTTATACACAAACGACTTACCTACTACTAACTAAAAACACATGTTCACAGAATTCAAAATCAACCTACAACTTTCAATATCCCATCTGTTAATAGAAACGTAAGTTTTGTGACCAATTCCCATTAAAACATACATAGGAAACTGTTGTGAAATAAACCTGGACTTTGACTGTCCGAATAAGTCAATGCCAATTGTTGGGAAAACGCAACGCTGGGCATTAATGGGTTAAAATATTTTATGATCACTTTTGTCTCCACTAAAAACTTTATAAAACCATTTGCTGTTTTTGTTGAAGAATTTTTAATAAATCACTGTATAATACTTATAATTTTTATTTTCTAGGTGTTTGTGCTTCTGGTCTCTTGGTGTATAGAGATAGACTTCGGATAAATAGGTTTGCTTGGCCAAAAATTATTAAAATTAGTTATAAAAGGCACAATTTCTATATTAAGATTCGTCCAGGCGATTTTGAACAATTCGAATCGACAATCGGGTTCAAATTGGCCAATCACAGGGCAGCTAAGAAACTATGGAAGACATGTGTGGAGCATCATACATTCTTCAGGTATTTATATGATTTTGATTTTTATTATTTGTTTATAGAATGAAATTATGGATCATCTAATAATTTCTTTTCATTAATGATTTAATGATATACGGTATTGGAATGCGGAGAACATACGATTTTAAATTGGATTTAATACAATGTTCTTCTGTAAGTACTGCTGCAAAAAATCTTGCCATCTTCATTATTTAGGCTTTTATTTCTATTGATTTCCTTACCATCCTCGTTCGGTAGTGGGGGTGGCTACAATATTTTCACGTCTAGTTTGGGTTCTGTATTATATTTCTATGTGAATAAAACTGATAAAGCTGATTATTTCTTAGAGTTCGGTGTTATTCCGTCATATCTGACGGAAATTACTCGGTTGGTTAGTCCTAGATATCTGTCTGTAAGTTCCGGAGTATATACTGTAAGCTCAGGGATTTTCCAATGGGACGATGTGCTTTGCATTTCTTGACGTTGATCCTATTGTGTTTACTGGCGTGGGTATATGTAATTGTAGTTCGTGACATCTAGAAAAGAAATTTCTTGTGAAACCCTCTGCTCTAAATTGGCTCAATTAATTGGCTTATTGTATATCTTCCATTAATTCATGATACCCATTTCAGAATTCTGGAACCCTGAACAAGTTTGTACAGGATTGGTATCTACCAGGATATCATATGCTTTTGAAGTCACTTGGTAGTTTCCAAAGCGTGTTCTCCGCCAGCGATTTAGTTCCTCACAGTAACACAAGATATGGTTTACTATTTCAGGTTCTCTACCTCTAGAGTCTACAGCTTTAGTCTTCATGAAGCAGTCCCATTTTGTGTTAGTAGGTGTCTCTTGACTGAGGCATGTCTATCAAGAAAGCCTATTATGATTCTAAGCAGATTCTCGCTTGTTTTCTTGCTGTCCATCCAATATACATATTTCCATGTGCTTGTCGTGATCAGCACCAAACTTCAGAAAGTTCACACCTAAAAAACTTTTCCAAAACTGTACCTAGCTGTACAGTACATTGATTACCGACAAATTGTAAAAGAAAGAGGTGCGCCTTTTTAGCTAGAGAAAAGATAAAATAATTTCAAAGCTTGAACACAACGTATCGGAAATGCCAACTGATGTTTGTTCGAAATGCATTTGAGAAACTTTTCTGATAATAGAAAACGTTTTCGGACCGTGTTAACAACCAGAAATATACGAAAAATTTCGCTTGGTTTTTGCTAATGTTTTCATTTTGAATAACTTTGTCAAACATATGTTTTTTGATTACTTTATAAATGAGAATTAAAAAAAAACATTTTAAAATATATGATTTTTTTTAGATTGATGTCACCCGAAATTAGTCAAAAATCATCATTTCTTCCAAAATTGGGATCAAAATTCCGTTATTCAGGTAGGACTCATTATGAGACCAAGAAAACACCCATTGAACGTCCAGCTCCACAATTTGAACGATCATTAACTGGAAAACGCTTGGCTTCTCGCAGCATGGATCGTAAGTATATACAACGAAGGGAAAATAAGCTATTTGTCAAAATCCTCGTGTATAATATTACCTCAAGGTACTTTATTTCACTGACCAAATTTATATTTGTATCATTCAGGTTTCTAGTATGGTATAATTTGACCCAAACCCTGACATCCAAAGTCAAAATTATTCTCCAACAAGAAATGGTTGTATATGGTCCACATATAGTTCAATTATTTCGAACGGTGGGTTTGGAGGGTGGAGTGGGGTGCGAAGTCGGTAAATTAGTAGTTTAGATATAAAGAGTTTTCGTGAGGAAAGTTCGATACAAAAATGCTCTACGTCAAATTGAAAACAAGAAAGGCCATTTGCATAATTGTTCTAACATCAACGGTTCCGGAATTACGGAGGGTGTAAAAGTTTTCCATATTTTTTGAGCAAACTATACTATAATTAGGAAGGAAACTAAGTTTTTAACAGGATTGTGTTTTGTAAATATAATTTGCTATTTAAGTGGCCGATGGTATGTTAGTGATAATCCCTTGAACGAACGTCAATCTCACCACAGGGCTACTTTTTAAGGGTAAAGAGGCTTCCACAGACCTAGGCCATATAAACCTGTGGTACGGAGAAACATATTCTGAACTTTCTATGGACAATGTCGCATGAATATCTTTGCAACACTAAATCCCAACAAAATAATTTTAAATATTTCTTCAATGAGTTTCAAGTAAACTTATCAGTTTCAATACTCTTTAAATACAACGTCCTCATATTCTACATGTTCTATGTTAGTTGTGTCCCTATTATCACATGCTAGGCCTGTTCTTTCTTCTCATTCAGCCACTACTGTACCTGGTGGTAGGTTCTGAACGAATTCTGGCTAGAAAGCTCCTGAAGTGGTGGTAGTGCAGCTAACTTGAGCAATGAATATATAGGCTGCTTTGCAATAGCATTCAAGTATGACTAATAGCGAAAAAAATCTAGATCTTCCATGTTACCGACACCAAACATTACACTTTGCTAGACGGTGTAACTTTCCCCCTCTTGTAAATAACTGATACCGTGTCAGATCCTGTAAAGGCGTATATTGCAAGGAATCCATCCTTCATATTCTCAATGTCTCACTGAATGTCAGCAATAGTGAAACTTTTTGCTGCTGATTGCCTTTCTTTGGTACTACCATTTTCAATTTCTTCACTGATGGTGTGTGGATAGTCAACAAAACTAGTAAGTCCGTGTCATCATCAATAACACAAGATTCAACGTCTTTCTTAGCTTCATCAATAGCTGTTAAAACTATTAATAAGTCAGCGTCACCTGATGTTGATGGACTGTGCAACATTTTTGCAAGTCTACAGTAGGGAGTGAAATAAGGCCCATTTTGTTGTTAGCGTTAGCTAAAAATTACATTTACATGAATTGGGTCTTTAACTTTTGCTTCAATGCTAGAATATGCTCTACGTAGGTGTTCTTCATCTTTTGTATTTCCTTGCTGATATCCATCAAATACAACAGTCGCTGTTCCGTAATGAATAATTATAAAGTATGTGTATTGCTCGCAAATCTGTTTGAAGATAGCTGGGCGTGGCCAGACAACACGATGAATGAGGTGACCTCCATCAATGTTGCACAACATTTTTCCTCAATCTAGAGAACATGATGATTCTTTTGTATCTGGAATCGAAACAGTAACCATTGAAGATTTGCTTGTCATCAAGCCAGATTCGTCAAACAAACATCAAGGATACGCACATTAAGTCTTTCATCACTCCTTACTGTGCCGACTTACATCCGATGTAAGAGAGTGTTTGGGTTTACACATACCGTGGTGCTGTTAATTGTCATGGACCTGGTTATAGAGGCTAAGGGCGTAACATCTAACTTTCTTTTCAAGTGTATCTCATTGAATGTTTTGTTTTCAATGTCTTTGGAAGCCAGGTTTCCGACTTAAAACGCTTTATCACAGTTCACGTTTTCATCTCCTATAACCCCTGTTGATATGGAAGAGAGTTAAGATGTTTTAATGCTCTAATACTCCGTACTTATTTAATTTTTTTACGGTTTGTAAAGTTTAAAATGTGTGTTTTAAGTTTACTTTTACAATTTTCAAAACTAATTTGCTTATCCAGGGATGTCAACTGCGATGTGTATGCATGTTTCATTGATTTCGAGAAGGCATTTGATAAAGTGCCACATGGGAAACTAATCGATATCCTAAAAACATCAGAACTCGATGGTAAGGATATAAGACATTTCAAACTTATATCTCCAACAAAAAGTAACAGTACGATTAGAAAATGAACTATCCGAGATCTTCACAGTCGAAAAAGGAGTTAGACAGGGTTGCATATTGTCACCGGCATTATTTAACATATACTCTGAAAACATGTTTAGAGAGGCCTTGGACGAATCAGAAGATGGGATTGCTGTAAATGGCCAACTTATAAACAACATTAGATATGCAGACGATACAGTGTTGCTGGCAGAGAGTGCGCAGGGGCTCCAAAGGATAATGGATAACGTTGTAAAAGCAAAAAAATTTGTTAAAATCCTTTATAAAAGGTATATAAAATTGCCTCAAACGGGCTATCACAAACACATTGCAAAACGTTTTCGGATTAAACAATCCATCATCAGTGCAAACGTTTGTACATGCTAGTAGCCACCAAAATATGTGGGTAAAAACCCTTTAAAAGTTATAAATTTGAAATTGTTTTACATTATTATTGTTTCTAATTTGTGATGGTTAAGTTACCGTTGGATAGGTAACATGGTGGCGTATGACTCTACATGAGTAAAATGGTCCTGAGACGAAGTGCCTACGAGGACCTGTTGATAACAACCAACTGTTGAGTTGTTATCAACAGGTCCTCGTAGGCACTTCGTCTCAGGACCATTTTACTCATGTAGAGTCATACGCCACCATGTTACCTATCCAACGGTAACTTAACCATCACAAATTAGAAACAATAATAATGTAAAACAATTTCAAATTTATAACTTTTAAAGGGTTTTTACCCACATATTTTGGTGGCTACTAGCATGTACAACCGTTTGCACTGATGATGGATTGTTTAATCCGAAAACGTTTTGCAATGTGTTTGTGATAGCCCGTTTGAGGCAATTTTATATACCTTTTATAAAGGATTTTAACAAATTTTTTTGTGATATATGGTATACAGCCAGCTACAGGAACTTGTTTCCTCGTGGAATGTTGTAAAAGCATGTAACAAATACGGCCTAAAACTTAATTGCAAGAAGACAAAAATAATTATTATTAGTAAGAACACCGGCATAAACGCCCAAATTACAAATAACGACACACCTTTAGAAAGGGTGGAAAAAATATGCTATTTGGGCTGCAATATTAAGGATACTTGGGATCACAGCTACGAAATAAAAACTCCTATTGAAAAAGCCAGAAGCTTTTTCAGCTGCGTTAGGAAGATTCTCTGCAACTTATTTTTAAGTATCAATATACGCATAAGAATTCTTAGATGTTTTTAGTGTCCTCCTTTAGGAGTAGAAAGCTGGAGCCTTACAGAAGATGCCATAAAACGATTGGAGACATTTGAAATGTGGTGCTACCGACGTATGTTGAAGGTCTCATATATACACCACACAAGTAACAGCTATTCTCCAGAGGCCAAGAAAAGACAAAGAAATTATTAACACCATATAAAATACCGACTTCTACAGTTGATTCTATGGGCAAGATTGAGGCTAAGACAGGCCCAGGACGTAGACGTATATCCTGGCTGGCCAATCTTAGGAAATGGACTGGTTTAACGTCAACTGATCTATTTAGAGCTGCTGTGAATAGAATAAGATGGGTCAATGTGGTCGCCAACATCTCTAGAAGATAGGCACATTTAGAAGAAGAATTTGCTTATTTATGTCTCGTAATTTTATGTAGCGTGATCTATATGTACACCCTCAGTAACTTTGGAACCGTTTGTTTTAAAAGGATTATTTATAGTACCTTTTTTGTTTCAAATTTAGCGTAGAACATTTTTATATGGAATATTGTTCACGCGAGGCCACTAAATTTTATAAATATTGACGAAAAACATAAAAACTAATACTTTACCAACTTCTCCCTTTTACCACCCCCCCCCCCATACCATAAGAAGTAAACATTGAACGCTGATGCACTATGTTATTCGAAGGCATCGTTGCTCAGTTCTGGTAGATTGCGGGTAGGATCGTTATAGTGGGGCAAATATAAGATATATAGACATAAAAAGGTCTTAAATTATAAATATACGCATAAAAAACACGAAGACCGCCTTAACTAGCCTAAGTTCTCTTTGCAACGGGTTAACTGTGCGTTGAAAATAAGAAAAAACATGCAATCAAATAACAAAATTTAATAATGTATAAAACAACAGAAAATTTATTGTTTAGTTAATCCATTCCGATTTAAACATGTTTAAAATAAAGACTGTACAAAAATATTAATTAACATTTACAGGCTTAGAGCACACTTCACAATATTTGTAATATATTTTTATTTACAGCACTTAGTGGATTACGACCCGACGAAGATTTTAACGAAGCGAATAAACGACATACTATGTCTCATCCGCCCGAGCACATACCGGATATTGATAATCAAACACCGGCAACTGTGAAATCTCCTAAGGAGAAAAAAGAAAAGGAAAAGGTAATTAACACCCAGATTTCTTTTTTGGAGTAATTAGTAGTCACCCAGAATAAAATTTCATTAAATGAAAGAGATTTGTGAACAATTTTTACAAATATCAAGATTAGAATAGTTATTAGAATAAACATAGTTTGTACCATATACTGATTTAGTAAGTTCATGGAATTTATACAACATATTGCTTATTATTCAGGATTTCATATAGTATAAACGTGATTTTTATGTATAAAAATTATTCACAAACTATTTCCCATAAATCAACACATAATAATACCGATTGCCCCCTACACTTAGCTTGCTAGGAACAGAAGTTCAGGATCTGTAAAATCAGGAAGTTCAGCTAGTTCTATAGAAGGAGAATATGAGGCAGAAAAAAACGAAAAGGTCTTTACAAATACCGTATATGCTGGAATTTTGTATTTTTAGGTGCCACAAGTTTTCGCGTAGATCTTATAGCTTCATTGCTTCATATACTTTTATATTTATACGCTTTATGTGTAGGTCTCAGGATGGTTAGCTTAAAATCAAATTATTTTTTTTAGTTAACTTATTAGACATCATTTTATATTACATATATTAATATAATTAATTGTTGACTAGAAGTAGTACAAAGCTAGAAGAAGTATTTTCTAAACTATGATCTGCAATCAAAAATGAGCCAATTTTGGATGGATGGGGCATCTAATTTTGTTGCCTCAACCTTCTTGGTACTCTATCGAGGAAAACATTATAGAATGATCATATGCCAATCTTTTAAGTCACCTTCGCTATCAAGGTCATCTCGTGTAGAAACTAGTTTATTTGAATCGTTTAAGTTTATCAGATTCTGTACTTCGAGGTTTACCTACAGCTTCGAGATATACCTCATCAAATGCTGAGGCCGTCATTTTAAAGAGCAACAACTTGAGCTATTTTTTCCTTTGTCGTTAGTTTTCTTTTTACTATTATTTACTATTGTTTTCGAAGCTTTTTAATTTCTAATCTCTATGAACTTCTTTCCAAAAAGATAAAAAATCACAAGAGATGTGGAGAACACTGAATTTGTTCAAGAAATAGTGTTGACTAATGTACAAGAAAATGTACGAAATTTGTAAAGAAATCTGTAGACTGTCGTTTATACATGTCACACAACAACTTATGTATTTAAGTGATGGATTCGACGGTTACTTGATGGAAATTCATTTTACGTAATCCAATCATTACATCTGAAATTTTAAATCATCTTAAAATTTGCATAAACCAGGACTACTTTGAATTTAATAATCAAATACATACAAATAACAGTATAGGTCTTATAATGGGTAATCCTCGAAGCTCATTACTATCAGATATTTCTATGGATCATCTAGAGACAAAGATTTCAAAATATCTCGTATCCAAACAGTTTTTATATTGGTGGAGAAACGTAGACGATGTACTGGTATGTTTTACAGGAACTAACAGGCAACTTGACCAATTTTTATCGTATATTAATTCACTCCATAGTCATATTGAATTTACAATAGAAACAGAACAAAATTAATCCATAAATTTTTTAGATTTAAAAATTATCAGACTCAAAAACAGACGTGAGTTCTGCGTAATTCCGATGTCAAAATACAACTTTGAGATATAATAAAATACCATTAAGCAAATAGCAGTAAACATTAAAATTTTAAATCAAAAACTGCATAAGGAAGCCCTGAAATTAGGATTTTCACAACCAGATAAAAAATCCAGTACATTTTGCTCGATTACATATACAGGCAAGATATCAACAAAAATAACCAAACACTTAAAAAAGAGAGGAGTAACACCAGCTTTTAGAACAAACAACAACTTAGGCAAATATATTAAAAACAACAAGAGCCAAAATAAAAATCACTTACACAAACTTAAATGTGGTGACTGCTCAAAACTTACATCAGGCAAACTGGTAGAACTTTTAACAAACGTATAGCAGAACATAAAAGGGCTTTTAATAATAGAAAACCAGACTCTACGTACACACTTCAGCTTCTAGCCCATAACCATTCTTTTAATGACGAATTTCAAATTCTCCACTTTCAAATAAAGGCCTTAAGCTATCTTTATTAAAATCTATGGAAATCAACAAATTAAAAAATACAGACATAATTCTTAATGACCAACTTAACATAAACAGTTCTCTCCTCCTTAACATATTCATTTAAAGACTGTAAAGTTTAGACGCATAACAAAAATAGATCACTTGAGAAAGGCATTTTGTCGAAACAGTTATAGTGATAACATATTATAATAAATTTTGTACAAGTTTTGAAAACAGTTTTCAGTGTTTTATTGTTAGATAATTTATGGAAGTTCCTATTTATACATAGGAAGTCAATAGACATCGCTGCGATCCAAGAAGTAATATAAAAAAAAGTAGAAATCACCAAAGAAGAATGAACCCATTAGAAGAGACTAGAATAAGAGAAAAAATTGAAAAACAGATGAATGAAAATATATCCAACCTAAGTCAACCCACAAATATAAGAGAAAGATGGTAAGAATTGAAAAGCAAAATAAATGAAACAACAAATGAAGTAGTGTTAAAGAAAAAAGAAAAAAAACAACAAAAGAAATAAAAACTGGTACGATCAAGACTGCGAAACAAAGAGAACACTAAAACATTCCGTTACACTGACATGGAGTAACAACCCATCAGAACAAAAGAGAGAAGAATACAAAATAGCGAGAAACAAATCCATCGCAACTAATAAAAAAGGAAAAATGACTGGTTAAATGAAAAGCTAGAATATATTGAAAAACTCAAAAAAAAATCATAAAATAAAACAATTATACAATAAAGTCTATCGTGCGAAAAAAAGTTATTTGCAAAAATAGAAGGTAGTGTAAGTTTCACATTTTAAAATTAGTTACAATTATACAGGGTCTTCAATAACACTAACTCTCTCTCTGTAACATATTGATGTCCATATCTCTGTATACTCCAGTCGTGAGAGACGAGAATGCCACCGAACCTCTAAAAATCGTACGAACAAGCTGATTTTAGTCGAAAATATTAATTTTGGTACCCCAAAAAAGATACAAAAAGTTTACCACTTTTATCCCTGGGTTTCCCCCTAAAACCCCTCTCGCAGGGGGTAAAAACCCAAAAAAAGTATTTACTAAGAATCTGTACACCGTAGAAAAAAATGTTTCAAATAAAAAATGTAGCTGAGATAAGTTTAAATAAAAATGTTTATAAGTATTTTTTGTGTAGAATGAATCGTTCTCTTAGAAACAACGACTAAAGCGATCGTCGATTTTGCATGTAAGACGCATGCGAAATCAATGTTCAATAAAATTTGTATCAGCTCGACGGTAAAAATTCGATATCTTTTTATTCAAGTGACCTATCGATAAAAATCATGATGCGTTTTGAAGGTAAAGAATTTAGCTTTCGTATGAAGTTTTTGTATTTTGTCGCAAATAAATTCAGATTTTATACAGGTCATCATCATCATCATATTTGGCTCTACAATCCTGGGTGGGTGTTGGCCTTTTCAAGAATTAGTCTCCATTCCCCCCTATCTTTCGCCCTGGATTTCCAATTTCTGACCCCTAGATTCCTCAAGTCATCTTCGACTTGAGTTTTAAATCTAGATCTTGGCCTGCCTATCTTCCTAGTTTCTACTGGCTCTTGATATATCTGTCTTTGGGGGTCTCCAGTGTCCATTCTTTCAAAGTATTCTAGCCACCTTAGTCTATTAATTTTATTAGACCAGACGATGTTGCATTTTTCATACATATACAACTCAAAACTCAACTCAAAATTGTAGCGCCTATGCCATATCCCGCTTTCTTGTACTCCTCCGTATATGTGTCTTCTTTCAAAGTGGCCTAACAGTTCTTCGTCGCTTTTTACCATAGTCCATGTCTTTGATGCGTATGTCAGGATAGGTTTAATAAGAGTTTCATATATTAGTATCTTGGTTTTTCTGCTAATTATGTGTGATGTTAAGAACTGCTTTAGTCCAAAGTAAGCTCTGTTCGCCAGGTATTCTCTTAATTTCTGCGCTTACTAGGTTGCTGTTATTTAGTTGTGTTCCAAGATATACAAACTCCGAGACCCCTTCGGATGAGTGTGCTTCTGTCACCAGATCTTGTGGTGCCGCTATTTTTGTGCTGTTCGTGACCTTCATGTATTTTGTTTTGGATATGTTGACCTGCAGTCCCATTGTCTTCGCGGCTTTTTCTAATGTTTCAAAAGCCTGTATCAGGTCTCTTTTTTGTCTGTGTTACTATGTCAATGTCATCTGCGTAGGCCAATGTCTGTACACTTGTATTGATGATCTTGCCTTTGGTTGTTATGCCCGATTTCTCTATGGCTCTTTCTAGCGCGATGTTAAACAATAGGCACGGTAGACTGTCTCCCTGGCGTAATCCAGTATGTGTTTGAAAAGACCTTGACACTCTGTTTGTACCTTGACTTTGCATTCAACTTTCGAAAGAGTTGCCTTTACCAATGTTATTAGATGCGACGGAATATCTAGTTCTGCCATGGCATTATAAAGTGTGCTTCTGTCTACACTGTCATAAGCGCTTTTATACAGGTGTTAAATAAATAAACGTGACGCGATTTTTTCCGTTTTTTGTAATTCTCATGAGATCAATACAACCTATCTCTTTATTGACTGTCGTGTCCTCTATGAAGTTTCAATAACTAGAGCCTAAACTGTAAAACCTATATCCTGAAATTTTAATTTTGAGTTTTGGCAACAACTGTGAGGCATTTGAAATATGCTTAAAAAACGCTGGATTTAAACTTTCTCACAACAAACGATCTAAAACATTTAAAACTTTTTTTTTTCAGTTATACTAGTACGTTTTTTAAAAGAACAAAGCTTATGCAATAAACTACACCCAAAACCATCTTCTTAAATGCATTTCCCGTGACGTGTGATGGTTTGTAATTCAAAACACTTTTATACGTCTATTTAACCCTTTTATAAAAATTGAGTTTTTTTCGGCAAAATACAAAAACTGCAACAAAAGCTGCACTCTTTGCCTTTAAAACTCATCTTGATTTTTGTCGATAGGTCACTTGAATCCAAGCATAAAACATATCAAATTTTTACCATCGAACTGATACAAATTTTATTGAACATTGATTTCGCGCGCGGAACTAACATGCAAAATCGAGGGTCTCTTCACGCGTTGTTTTTAAGAGAACTATACATTCTACACAAAAAATGCTTATAAATATTTTTATTTAAAATTATCTCAGCTACATTTTTTATTTGAAACATTTTTTTCTACAGTGTACAGATTCTTGGTAAATCGATTTTTTGCGTTTTTACCCTCCTTCGAGTAGGGTTTTAGAGGGAAGCCCGGGGGTAAAAGTGATTAGCTTTTTAGCATCTGTTTTGGCGTTCCAAAATTAATATTCTATGCAAAATTCAGCTTGTTCGTATTATTTTTAGGGGTCAACTCTCTGAGACTGAACTAGTAGTCGTACATACTTTGGTACACTACTATTATGTTTCTTGAACGTTCCTTACGTCTACAATAAAATTCATTTAACAATTGGGAATATATTACTTTTGGCCTTTATAGATCAATTATTTTCTGCTGTAAATTCGATTATGAGTGATCAGTATTTAATATAATAGAATTATTTGTTTCTGACTTTACGTCTAAAACTGCGGCAAATATCAAGAGTGTAGACGTGAATTCTTTTTGCTCCTGTTTTTTCTGTCAGGTTTCGGGGACGAACATAGAGACGTCACTCATTACACTTTACTAGTGAAGAGGTCACGTCTAGGTCTGCTTGTAGTAAACTACAAACATATACGTAACAAAAAAGAAAAATCATTGATGTTATATTAATTATCAAACCGTTTAAGTTAACCATCCTTGTGTGAAATACAAAGCTTCAAATATTTCCAGTAATTAGACTTGAGCTTCTGTGTAGTTTTATATCTATCAGCTTTTGAACTTTATGATATCTGCTTGCTTAGCTACACTGTGAGATTTTGTTTTTCATTAGAAAACGAAACCTGTTGGAGGTGTCGCCGTGCTTCCCGCTGGAGGTTTGTTTGGTAAAAAAGGTGATAAAGATAAAGACAAAGAAAACCGAGACGTCAATGCTCCACAACAAAATGGAGTAGATGAATCTCAGTTGAACACGAGTAACGAAAGTGATAGGTCACCTCACGATAAAAAGGATAAAGGAAAGGTATGATAGTTATATGTGTTTTTGTCTAGCAGTTCGCAGTCCCTAGTAGATTTTAAAGTTAATTCATTTTGGGGAGAGGTTTTATTAATAGTCTGGATAAAAATGATCAGGAGTATAAAGACCTAAGTATTTGAGAACCATTTATCTTTATTATTTTTATATATACGAACAAAGCCATGAAAACTTTTTAGATCAAAACACTTATTATTAAAAGCGTATTATTATATTCTCTTACCAACCTAGATGTTTATTATTAAATTGAGAACTTATAGGGATATTAAAGAATAATATTCCCATTAGTTTTAAGAGGTTATAATATACATTCTAGTTAACTTGGTTAAAATAATGGTTCCTATTTACTTCAAATAAAAGCTCAAAAAATACTATGACTTTCTTCATATGGTGCCTATCCGTTACGGATGTTGGACACTAATGTGGCTATTCTGACTTTGTTGACTGCTGCCCTGAAAAGTCCGGTAGTGGTTAAGTTAAACCATTTTCGCAGGTTATGCAGCCAGGATATTCTTCTTCGTACTGGACCTCTTTCCCATGCACTTTACCTTGAAGTATGGTCCGAAGTAGGTCATATCGTTGTTCATTGCGCATTATATGGCCCAGGTATTCCAGTTTGCGACGTTTTATGCTTACGACTAGTTCGAGCTCTACCCATTCTATGTAGTACTTCTTCGTTGGTAACTCTGTCTATCCAGTAAATCCTCAACATGCGTCTATAGCACCACATCTCAAATTCTTCGAGTCGCTTCAGTTAAGGTCCATGACTCCACGCCATATAATAGAACGGAGAATACGTAGCATTTTAGTAATCGAACTTTTATTTCCAATTTTATATCGTGACTGTTAAAGATTTTTTTTCATTTTGACGAAAGCTGATCTTGCCTTCTCGATCCTTATCTTAATTTCCGTCAATTGGTCCCACTGTTCATTTAGGTTTGCATCCAGATAACAAAAGTTGGTGGTTTGGGTTATAGGTTGTTGTTCAACTAGTAATTGACCAGGTGGTATCCTATTTTTGCTTATAACCATGTATTTGGTTTTTTTTATGTTAATATGACCTCTTATATAGTAATTATTACTTATATAACCAATTAACTCTTTTTACCACCGAGGTATAGGGCAGGTTACATTTTTAATTTTTTTACAATTACATTTTTAAAGTTCATAAATAAATTTCATCAAATTTTCTTCATTCCTTTTTATTGTTTGCTAGATTGTTTGCTTTGGCCTATGTTTGTCCTTCGTCTGTCCTTCTTTCTTTTTCTATTCTCGGTTGCCATACATATTTTACTTAACTTGAGTCGTTTATTCTCTACAGATGTCTCAACCAACTTAGTTGTCTTTTTCTATAAACTTGAGAGTTGACTCTCTAGTTCATCTCTTATCACAGTGTTCCTTATCTTGTCCATTCGTCCTTATCTTTTCCTCTTCGAAGGGAGGAAGGTGCCTTCTCCATTACTGAAGGTTGGCTATAACTACAGCAAATTGCTCTCTATCGTGAGCTGTTCTTAGTATCGAATGTGTGCCCATGCCTGTCCAGTCTGTCACATTCTTCAACCAGCGGCATTTTCTTCTTCCTTCCTCTTTCCCTTCCATTATAAGTCGTAGGAAGTAGTATTTTTCTCATCTGTAAATATGTCCTAGATACCTCGTTTTTCTATTTTCTACAATATTTAGGAGTTTTCTCTCGTGCTCATTCTTCTTAGCACCTCGTTGTTGGTCACGTGCTCTGCCGAAGAGATCTTCAGCATCCTTCGAAAAACTCACATCTCAAAGGCTTCTATACGCCTCATACTTGTAATTCCGAGAGTCAATGTTTCCACTCCGTATAGCAATATGGAATAAATAAACGTTTTTACAAATTGTATCGGATATCCAACGATAACGTAGAGTTTATTAGGAATTTTGTCATTCGTTGAAATGCGGACCTAGCATATTCTATACGAGCACGTATTTCGACCTCGTGGTCAAGATCGTTTGTTATCCAGCAACCAAGATACTGGAATCTTTGTACTGGTTCTATATGTTTGTTATAGATACGAATATTAATGTCGACATTTGGTGCACGTGTAACAGCCATTGCTTTTGTTTTATTTGTGTTTATATTTAGTCACAAGCTATCTACCTCTCTAGTTATGACATTCAAAAGTCGTTGTAAACCCTCAGCACTGTCCGCAATAATGACGGTGTCGTCTGCGTATCTTGGTCTGTACATATACTTAAAAACATTTATTTTTGTTTGTTTTGAAATTTCTTTCCTAAATATAAAAGTTTTGTGTCTTTTATATTCTGTTACTGATTTCTAACTCTTCTTTTCTCTAAGTCTATGTTGACTGCGTCGATTTGTATATTTATCTGATGTTCTTCAGTTACTACCATCACTTTGGTTTTATTTTTGTTTAACTTCATTCTATGTTCTTCTAATGTCGAATTCCAGATCCCAAAAGTTTTTTTTGTAGTTGTTTTTCACTTTGTGTCATGATTATTATGCCATTTGCAAATGCTCTTTCTGAAATTTCAGTTCTTTGTAAATATCTGTTTTCGATATATAGTTTTTTACTTGCTTTGAACATTTTTTTATTATTTCATCCATAAATATATTGTGAGAAACGCTAATCCCCTCAATATACAGAAAGAAGATAGACAAGACTTAAACAATTATCGTGGAATTACACTAGTAAGTACAAGTATGAAAATGTATGAGCAAATACTAAATAATAAAATAATACCAATAATAGAAAATAAGCTGAAGAATCGTTAAGCAGATTTAGGAAAGGAAAATTAAGGTGCTTTATCCTGCATAAAAACCTTGTGACCATTACCAAAGCATTCGTTCATTTGTGGAACCAATTTTATCTGCACGACTCTTTATACTGGTCCTGTCGCATAGTTCTTTTTACCACATATCAAAGTCCCATTTCTTTGCCACTCATTACAGATCAGATCATTACTGAGGTGAGATGTTTAATTGGTTTTATTACACATCTCTTCTCATGTTTTGTTCCTGGATGTCTTCTGACAAATTGGGCCTCATCAGCCACAATTTGAAATTTGCTTCATCTCTAAAACAAATTTGCAAGTAAAAATTCTAAAGTTTGAAACCAAAATGATTTGTATAAAATTCCTTTTTGCCAATCATCAATAGTTCCAGTCTTTATACAGATTGGCCCAAGCTAAGCGTTCCTTGAGTTAGAGTCTCTGATCGGAAAAAAAATCTAGTCAGATATATAAAGGCCGATAGACTCAGATGGACAGGGCATGTGATACGCAGTAACGACAATTGCCTTATAAAAAATGTGTTCCGTTAAAGGCCAGATGGAAGAAGGTCTGTATACCTACTTCCATCTGGCCTAGAAAAAGGTGAAAAGATGCAGTCAAAGAAGGTCTAGAGAAAATGGGAGTGCGACAATGGGAATTACTGGCACAGGACCGACAAACATGGAAGGCAATAGTAAACGCGGCAAAGACTCACGAAGAGTTGTAGCGCCATTGATGATGATGAAGCGTTTCTTGAGCATTTTTGGTGTTAGTTTAGGCTTTTTAACAGTCCTGCGACATTTGAACCAAATGTTGTTACAAATTTCCACTGATATCGAACGCCCCGCTTCTTCCAATGTATTCCTTATATCTCTAGTGGTGACTCTTCTGTGTTTTACAGCCAAATTCTTTGCCTTCTGGGGTGACTGAAATCTTTCTGCTCTTCCGAATTGGCGTAACAGGACGTTTATATTTTTTAAGTTTTTGAATCACCTTCGAACTGACGATTGAGATCCACCACATTTTCTTGCTATTTCTCTGACTATATGTGTTATTTTCTAATAATAACAAAAGAGATTTGATCAGTAGAAAGATCTTTACATTTACTAATCTGACAAAAATCCAATCGGAGATTAATCGTCTCGTTTATGATCATAAATTAACCAAATTCAACACTAACATTACTGTAGAATAAAATCAACACTCACCACTCCAAATTTTACAAAATTTGAGTAATCATTAATTTAAGTAAAAAAACTTGGAAAAAGTCGAGTTATTGCACATCTTTAGCAAATTCGATTGCCACGTGTCAAGTTTTGACAATTTAATCAAAAAGTTCCTCTATATCTCTTTAAAGATACTTTTAAGGCGTCTGTAATTCAAAAAACTAAAATTCATAGTGTGGGTCTAATAATTTGAGCAAGGTTGATAGTTGTATACGACATATCAAAAAGATAATAATATTCTTTATACTCCTGGTGTATTTATTCTAGATTTCTGATAAAAAAATTAAGTATTAACAATATAAGAGTACTTTAAAATAAATTTTATGTTAATTGTATCATTTTGCGAGCAAAAAATATATAGAGTACTTTAGAAGTTACCCTAAAATTATATTTTATTAATTTGATTTAGAATATATATATATACAGTAAGTATATAACTCTTTGTACATACCATTTTTATTTCTTCTAAGATTAAAAATATGTTAACTGTTCAATATTTTGTGAAATTGTGAAATCTTGCTTAAATTTTTTCCCTGTACAACAAACTTCTTATGTGACCAAGTGCACGAACCGCCGTATTGTTAAATTCGGAATTCTCCTACTGACACTACAACTTACCTAGGCAAAAAGCCATCACGATCTGTTTTCTAGTACTCATATTGTGTGAGTACTAGAAGAGAACAGTTCTTATTTAATTTCAATACAGAGCACCACCATTTCCTTATACGCATTTCGTCCTTTAGGACTCATCAAAGCGAACTTGTGGTAATCTCTGAATGAAACAAAATCTTTCTGTCATATTAGCAATTATTTTAAAAATAATGTGCACCACACGCTACAGCGACATCTATTTAAAAACCAATAGAACTTCGTTCGAAATCAATTCAGGAAAATGCCAAGTTAGTGCTTTCTATAATTGATATTGAAGATATTCCGTTCAATTTTTTAGACCCCTTAATCATAACTTACAGCCTTCATATTCCGCCTAGAAAAACGACGTTTTAGAAAGCCTGGAAAAATGTTTATAATACGACTAAATAGTGTGATAAACTTTGTTAGGATCAGTTTAACAGTATTTGAATAATAATTTGGAATCCAGGGTCCGCAAAAACAATTGCAACTTTGCAAAATTATGCTCGGCCCAAAGTTTAAATAGTCGAAAAATTTGTGCATTTTGTGTATTGTTTTACATTGTACAATACGGAAATAATTTAGGATGACAGGAAGCCGATGCGGATAAAATCGGACGACAGGAAGTCGAGAATATGCAATTTTTGGAGCACTTTGTAATTTTGAACTCATCGATTCACTTTTTGCTCGGCTCGCTGAGGGGTTATCCCCATACTACTTCCCATACACTTCTAGCGACTTTCGACGAAAACGATTTTTTTTTATGCATGTTGTCACGCAAAAATTTTTATATAAAAAGTACTTGAAAAGGAGCCCCCTGTCACTTACGGTTAGGCGGCAAATGCATGCCAACTTTAAGCTTCGATATCTCGGCAACAAATAAACCGAACGTATTTTTTTATATTTTTTTAAGTTCTATAAGTATACACATTTTGAAATTGATATGTGTCAAAAGCGGTGATAGATATGAATTATATAAAAGGACCCGAGAAGATGGTTTGGCCGGTCATCTGCAGAAATCTTTTGTGCAGCAGTTTCGAAAGCTACAATTGCTATTTGTATCGGCAACCTTCAAAAGGAGAAGGCTCAATAAGAATAAGAAATTCTTATAGAAGTACAATAGTTTTTTCTTTATTAATAACACTATAAAAATGTTATAAACATTTGAGATTTACCATGAAACGAATTAAAATGTTTACTGGACAAAGATACAAACAAAATTGTTTTAGAAAATGTTTTCGGGTGGACTGCTTGGTAGAGTAATTATATAGTGGCGCAGTATGGAAGGGATGGAAATTCCAAGTTAAAAATATTGAGTATTATCGAGTTAAATCATATATTTATTAAGAGGAGCAATGTGATTTGTTGTGAAAAGGCTTGTCTTTTAAAAATAATTTCAAATAATGAATGAGAGTTAAAGAAATAGTCGAATATAATTAGGTATCACTGATAACGGCAACACTCAAAGTACTTTATTAACTTCTTCAATACACAAAATGTAAACAAATTACCGTTTCCAACAAATCTTCACTGAAAATCACTTTTTAAAACGTCACTTTTAATTCTACACATTTCTAGTGATTCTTTTTTTTTCAATGCGTTTATTCTGGAGTGTACTATTTTTTTTCTATCACTGGCATCGCTTAATTATATTTTATTCTACGTCAGTGTCACAAAAGTATATTGGTTACAGTATTACAATAAATTCTACAATGATCAAAGATAAATTACAAAATCAATTAATAATATGTACAAAGGGAAAATATATATTACTGTGATATATTGAATATTAGTATTAGAAATATATTAGAAAGCATGGTATTCTGTTCCAGTATAAAATTTTTATATCCAGTTACATTCAGTGAAATAAGTAAATTCAAATTAAATCAAAATCGATAGTGTAAAAACCAACTCATATTTTAACCATTTTCATAATATTGTTCATGTTTGTAACTGGATATTGTGTGTTTCGTACCAAAATAGTTGATTATTTTTCATTTCTAATAACGTATTAATTTGAAATGGGTAAAACAGAATATTTGCACTTGAATTTCCACTAAGTAATATTATTGCATGAATTAATGCATGTCTTTTGATTACGCATTAGAGTCCTGGTTTTCTGTTTGGTTCCAAAAAGGAAAAATCCCCAAAAGACAAAAAAGAAAAAGAGAGAGTCGCTGCTACTTCCGGCAAAGATAAAGGTGGACCTCCCGTTGGATCTCCCCAATTGCCCGGTTATACAAGAGAGTACGATTATGAAACTCCCGACGATCAAGTTACGCCCAGAAAACCCTTCACTCAAGGTTTTAGTTACGAGAAACCTGGTTCTCCAACAACTCCCACAGGTGCTCAAGAAGTACCACATTCTCCAACTAAGAGAGCTACTGCTACTGCGTTTAATTATGCTCCTGGAGAAGTTGGTAAAATAAAGAAAGATCCTCATCACAGAGATCCAAAAGCTGATAGTGCTGCCTTTTTAGCAGGAGAACAGTATCTACACCAAGCTCCACCTTCATCACAATCACCTAAATCAACTGGATCTCCTGCAGTTGCTGCTGCTGCTATTGCTGGTGCCGGTCCCAGAAAAACAAGACCTATTACTTTATATGTTGTTACTGGTAGTAGAGATCCCAAAACAGGTTACATTGACGTGGCTTCTGCAACAGTTGATAAAACGGTCGGACAACAAAATGTAGATACGGGACTCATTGACTGCAAATATGGATTAATAGATCCTTCAAATGGTACAATTATTATTACGGATCCTACAAATGGACAAAAAGAAGTTGTTCAAGGACACATAGATCCAATTACAAAACAGATAATCATAACTTCTGGGTCTGTTATTGATCCCAAAACAGGCAATAAGAGTTCAAACTTGGGGCAAATTATCGCTATTTGTGAACCAAGACCTAAAGGTGCTAGCAAACTTGTAACTCCACCTAATAAACGAATTATAAAGATTACTGTAACCACCGCGAAAAAAGATCCCAAATCTGGCCGAGTCGAAGCAGAAAAAGGTCATACAGAAACGCTGGAGGCTATTTTAGACCCAGTTAGTGGAAGAATCGATTCAAAATATGGAATTATCGATCAAATAAATAGCACAATTACTTCAAAAGATCCAAAATCCGGTAGGGTTGAACAGTATCCTGTGGAAATCGATAGTAATTTGGGCCATATTGTTGTAAAACAAGGAGTTGTAGATCCCAAATCTAATAAAATTGACAACAGCCTGGGACAGCTTATTAAGATTTCAGAGCAAGGTGATTCTATTGTTCCTATTACAGCTGTAACGGCCCAAAGAGATCCAAAAACTGGTCAATTAGATCCGTCTAAAGCTCATAAAGAAACAACCAATGGCAAACTCGATCCCAAAAACGGTTTAATCGTCACAAAATATGGATCAGTCAATGTTAATGGCAAGAAAATTGTTAGTCGCGAACCGAAAACTGGCAAAGTTGAAGAACATCCTATACAGTTCGATTCAAATGACAATATTATTGTATTGAGCGGTGTTATAGATCCAAGAACCGGTGCCAGAGATAATAATTTGAGTCAAATTTTGCAAATAGATTCTGAAACTGAACCAGATATTGTTGTTACCTCGCAAGCCGGAAAACTCGACAAAAAAGGACTCGACCCCAAAACTGTTACTGCCCCAGAAAAATCGATCGGTATGTACGATCCAGAAAATAACAAAGTATATACTAAATATGGATTAATAAACCTAATACACGAAACACTATCCTTTATCGATCCTAAAACTGGAAAAACCGAAATTAAACAAGGGATCAGAGAACCTGCCGGTGATATACTCTTCAAAGGACTGGTTAATCCTAAAACAGGAAAAATTGACAAGGATTATGGCAGAGTTATTAAACTTGAACTAAGTGAATCAAAGGTTGATCCTTCTGTAACCAGTACACCCTTAAAAACAGATAAAAAGAGCGTACCTGTAGCTTCTGTAAAAGTACCAAGTCCTGTAGCACCCACAGGAAAGGGTAAGGTTATTAAAATATTAACGGTAACTGCTAAAAGAGATCCAAAATCTCATCAACTAGATCTTGAACATGGCCATGTTGATCAGTCAGCAGGAATTCTCACTCCAAATGGAGAAATTGAATCTAAATATGGATTAATTAATCCCAAAAACGCAACTATTACAATATTAGATCCAGTCACTGGTAAACAAGAAGTAGTACAAGGACAAATTGACCCAGCAACAGGACAGTTACAATTTGTCGAAGGGCCCGTAATTGACCCTAGAACTGGCAAAAAAGATAATAATCTAGGTCAAATTATTGCTATTGCTTCATATGAACCTAAAGAGGGAACACCAATTAAGAACTTACTTCCCTCGCATCCTGTTCCCAAGAAAAGGGTTATCAAAATTTTGGTCATTACTGGCAGAAAGGATCCAGCCAGTGGTAAAATTGACACAGAAAAAGGTGTAGTTGAAAAATTAACAGCCACTGTTGATCCTGTCAGTGGAATAATTGACTCGAAGTATGGCAAAATTGATCCACAGAATAAAAAAGTTGTCATCAAAGACAAATCTGGAAAGTCCGTTGTCACTCCAATTAAAGTCGATGATAATACCGGTCAGATTTATATTGATGATAACATCGTCGATCCTAAAACTGGTAAGATCGATCACAGTTTGTCTCAAGTTATTAATGTAGTTGATCCTCAACATCCCGCTGTAGTAATAACTACCATTACGACTACAAGAGATCCCAAGACCGGAGCTATTGATTTAAGAAATGGTAAGACTGAAATTACAAATGGTAAAATTATACCTGAGACAGGCGAAATTGTTACAAAACAAGGAACAATCAATTTGAAATTAATGAGAATAACTACTAGAGATCCAAAGTCAGGTATCATACAAGAAAGGCCAGTCCAAGTAGATAAAGATGATAATATTATCATTTCGTCTGGAGTCATTGATCCGAAAACAGGATCTGCCAGTCCTACTGCTGTACAAGTTATTCAAGTTGGTCAGGAAGTTGACCCTGAAATTCAAATCAGAACCTATGTTGGTAAAGTAGACTCAAAGAAAAATACTATCGACTCGAGAAATGCCTCACCTGATACTACACCAGGTCTTTATGATCCAGATAGAAATAAAATATATACTAAGTATGGACACCTCGACCCAGTTTTAGAAACTCTTACAATAGTTGATCCTAAAACTGGAAAAGCAGACGTTAGACAAGGTCACATTGAACCGAATACAGGGGAATTGTTATTCAAAGGAGGATTTACTAATCCAAAAACTGGAAAGATTGAAAAAGACTTGGGAAGACTTGTGTCAGTTCATATAACTGAACCAGTAATAGATTCAATAGCTTCTCAACAACCGTCTGAAAAAGAGCTACAGCAAACTACTTCTACTAAATCACATCCTCAAGTTGAAAAAAATATAACAAGGACAACACCAGTAAAATCTACTTCACCTGTAAAATCGGCAACTCCAATCAAAACCATTCCTGTAAGATCCGAAACTCCAGTGAAAGAAGTTATAACGGGTGTGCTACATCCAATTGCCAAACATAGAATTGTAAAAATTATGGTAATTACTGGCAAGAAAGATCCTAAGACTGGTACTGTTGATAGTGAATATGGTACTATTGAACACATCACGGGCATTGTTGATCCAAAAACTGGTTTAGTTGAAACTAAGTACGGCCAACTGGATCCTACAACAGGGTCTTTGATAACAAAGGATACTAGCGGGAATAGTCAGATTGTCCAAGGTAAAGTCGACACTACTACCAACCAGATCGTTGTAAATGGAGGTCCTGTTGTAGACCCTCATACTGGCAAGCTAGATTCAACTCTGGGACAGGTATTTTCTATTGTAGGTCTTAAACAAGCACAAGACCCTAATCTGGCTCCTATTCCAAAAAAGAAAATTATTAAAATTACAGTAATCACGGCCAGAATTGATCCAAAGACTGGTAAGATCGACAACGAAAAAGGACAGATAGAACAATCGACTGCTTTACTGAATCCAGAAACTGGTTTAATCGAATCTAAATACGGACTTATTGATCCTAAGAGTGGCAAAATTATCATTAATGATCCCAAATCTGGTAAAGTAGATGCCAAATCGGCCCATGTAAATGATGTGAATGGTCAAATTATTGTTTCAAGCGGTGTTCATGATCCAAAAACTGGTAAGGTTGATAATACATTAGGACAGATCATTAGTATAGCTGGGCAGAATGATCCAGTTTTAGAAATAACAACAATAACTTGTAAGAGAGATCCTATCACAGGTAAAGTTGATGTTAATAATGGCCAAATGGAAAATTCTAAAGCACAAAAAGTTTCTGCCACTGGAGATATTAAAACAAAATATGGTACAATCAACATTAAAAACTTAAGGTTAACTACTATTGACCCAAAAACTGGCAAAGTAGAATCGAGACCTGTTCAAATCGATGAAGAGGGTAATATAATTATAACCACTGGGGTAAAGGATCCTAAAAGTGATACAGTTAATCCAGAATTATGCCAAGTCATAAAACTAGGCTCTGAGGTAGAACCTGAAGTACAAGTTGTAACGTTTGTAGGTAAAATAGACCCTAAAAAGAATACTATTGATACCAAGAATCTTGTACCTGAAGTTTCAAACGGTCTGTATAATCCCTCATCACATAAAATCGATACTAAATATGGCCAGATTGATCCAGTAAAAGCTACTTTAACATACACTGATCCAAAAACTGGCCGTGTTGAAGTGAAACAGGGTATAGTCGATAACTCCACTGGGCAAATTCTGTTCAAAGGATATATCAATCCAAAAACTGGTAAACCTGATCCAAATTATGGAAGACTTGTGGCAATACTTATTAGCGATCCTAAAATTACTGATTCGGGAGAGATTGTCAGGAAAGATAGTAAGAGAGTTCGAATCGATCCCAAGAGCAACCAAGTTTGGATTTACGATTATAACGATCCTATTACAAAGGAAGAAGTTTACACTACTGGACATATCGATCCGGTAACGGGTTATATAGTTTCTGTTTATGGGCATGCAGATCCAAAATCAGGCTCAATCGCTAAATTAAACAAAGTCGATCCACATAATATTAAAGTCGATCCTGCATCAAATCAAGTATTCACAAAGACAGCGGAAGTTGATGAGAGTGGTGAACCTTTGTATTCTGCCTCAGAAATTGACCCTAAGAACGGCCAGATTTACACCAAATACGGTAAGATCGACCCTAAGACCGGCAAATTTGTAATTGTGAGGATATATTTGATAACACAAAACGATCCACAAGGAAAAGCTAAAGAAATTGATCCTAAGGACTGCCAGTTTGATGAAAAAACCGGACGTATTATAAACGTATCCACACAAACTGTATATATCTACAGCATGGTAGATCCAAAAACCGGAAAGATTGTACAAGTAGATCCAAATGATCCTTTGGTTAAGAGTGCTAGTACCAAAGTGACTCAAGTATTAACACTTACCGGCGAAATTGATCCAGTAACCGGAAAAATCCATACAGAATGGGGTCATATCGATCCTCAAACCGGAGATATCGACCCAAAAACTGCCAGACGAGATCCAATAACTGGTGAGTTAGTTTTGAACTATGCTCAGATAGACCCAAGTCACTTTAAAGATCTTAAAGATACAAAGGTAAAGGTAAAAACTTACACCAAGGGTGATGATAGTTCGTCGGGAGAAAGTAGTGATGACGATTTGAGTGAATACGCAGCTGATAATTTGGGAGACATCGCAAATTTGAAGATACCAAAGGGCAAGAAAGGACTTAGTACTCCTGTCATTGTCAAAACGACGACCAAGCAAACTGTTACAAAGGACAAAGACGGCGTTACGCATAACGTAGAAGAAAGAGTGGAAGATGGCAGAACTGGTGAAGTTACGTTTTCCACACAAGTAAATAAGGTAAGTACAAAAACTATATTTATATACTCGTAATATTGTATAGTTTGGTAACAAAAATTGTTGAAGATTTGGATATTTTTAATATATATTTTAATGTTTCGATTGAGATCGAAGATCCTCGAATCCTCTTATATAAAATTATAATATTTGTTTAGTTAATGACTGAGTTTAAATTTGTCAATACGTAAGATCTCTTTGTGTTGATTATACGTTTTAGGTAATATTTGACGCCCACATAGATGTGTATGTCAGTGTGAAGGTGAAGGCCTCACAAGGCTGCGGTATCTAGATGTCGTTCTAGATAGCGAAAAAACCAAAAGTATCAGTCTATATGAAAGTCTCAAACTGGGGAAACTCGTTAAGAGAATAGGGCTGGATAAGCATCTTTAAGTAATAAAGGGAAGCACAATAGATCTGTAAAAGTCACAGTGTGTCGAAGGCCGAGAGGCGCCTTGTCGTAAGCAGTACAGTACCCGTCACGCCACTAGACATAGGAACCTAATTGCTAGACATATAGTAACCAATATAGGTTTTGAGCTGCGTTGATGTCGATTTCTCAAGGGAGTCACCAAATAAACGTGTTCGCAATATCTAAGTCTTACATTTTTGAAAACTTCTATATCTTGGATCATTGCTAACAGTTCCTCTAAATTGTAGCTGGATTCTACATGTAGTAGAACTTTTGACATTTAATGTTCTCGCAACATATTGACAAATTCGTCCCTCTTAGACAAGATCTCGAGAAAGAAGAAATCTTGGCTGAAGATTAATCAAAGATAGGACTAACGTCAGTGTTGAACAGATATTTCGCGTTATAAAGATAGGAAAGCCTTTAAAGAAGTGATTGCCAACCTTCGTTAGAACACGGCACAATAAGAAGAGAAGAGCTAAAGTTTTGGTTGTTCAAAAACATTTTGAGAGTGAATAAACATTTTTTTCGCGTCTCTTGTACAAGGGCCTATGGTTTTAGCTCAGTTTTCGTTAAACACAGCTATTTTGTGTAAGATTAAACATTTTTTTCATACTGACGTTGACAATTAGACAATTGCCCAACAATAAATAAAGTTAAGCAATCGTTGTTTTGGCGAAATTTTATATTACACACGAAAAAATAGTCATTTGCATTTGAATCGATGGTAATAGACTGATATAACTGTTGTTTCGGTGTCTCTACCTCTTCAGTTGTTCGAGCTAAATACAAACTCAAACTCAAAAGGTCCAACTAATGTATCGAAAATACTTCCCACTTTCGGTGGGGCACTTCTATGCGCTAATCACCGTAATGCTATAAGAGTTAAGGCCTTTTTTATTTGATATAGACTATTAGTAGATTCCAATTTTTGACAAATTATGTTACCAAACATTTTCAGTATATTCTGAAATTTCTTTTTCTTTTTCAGTTGTTAATGTTAGCATTGTTTATTGTTATATTTTCAGTTGTTTTATCTTTATTTAATAGTTAAATTTTTGTTGCTTTTTTATTTCTTTATAAAATACAGCACCGTTGTTTCGGCACATTACTTTCGGTGTTAACCGTGTTAACAGTTTAAATATTTTTTTTACTATAAATTTGCTTTATAAGGTTATTAGATGAAATAATTTGTTATGCAATTTTGTTGTATGTATATATTGTATAAATGAAGTGATGAATTTAATAGCAAATTTAGACGAGAAGGTCCAAAAATATTTTATTCTTTCTCTCGTAAACACATCAAGAGGTACAATGTGGTAGACAATTGCTAACAATCGAACATCAATATGTTATTAATATTATTCTTCTAATGGGAATAAGCCACAATTGAAGGTTAAAATATTAGTTATAATAATTAAATAAATTTAATTGTGGCTTATTCCTATTAAAATAGTATTTATTATGTTACTAAGCGTAAAATTATTCCTAATCAGATAGTGTGCTCAAAACAATATTAATAAAATATGCAATCAAGTACTCGCTATATCTTTATCTTATCAATGGATCAAAATACAGATTATTATTCGTCCAGGCTAGAAACGACTTTCGAAAAGAAGATTAACCACAATGTAATATGAGTAAGGTAGAAAAGGATGCCATGCCTCTACTGTGTATCGCGTTCTGATATTTAATAACAAACTCCAGTTATACCAGTACCAGCAAATATCAGAAGATCACAAGTAAGTTTGGAATGGGATAACTGTTGTGGACGTTCAGGACATGGGCAGGAGAACACTCAGTTCAACATGCTGTATGCGTGGGAACTGTGAACACGAGAAGCTCTTTGACTTAAATGTGTTGTATATGCATGTTTTATAGGTTATCGAAAAACATTTTCATGTTAACTATCAAAAGATGATCGAAATTCTGAGAACAACCTAACAACTTGACAAACAAAACTTTCGAGTTATTTCAGAAATATATTGACATCAAACGGTAACAATAGAAATAGAACACAGAACATCCGAATCAGACGAAGAGTGCGACAGGGGTGTGTCTTATCACCGCTATTGTGACATATATCAAATGATCAGATTTTACGTTTTCTCTGCCTTGCTCTATGGCTCTGAAAATTGGACAATGGACTCTGAAATAGAAAAAAGAATACATGCCTTTGAGATGTCTATATAAAAATACGGATGATGCTAATTTCTTGGATACAAAAATATACGATGAGGCACTTCGGCGTATGAGTAAACAAAAAGAATTGCTAAGTACGGTCAAAGAGAGGAAAATAAAATACCAGGGTTATGTGTTGAGATGTGAACGATATGAATTACTCCGAATCATATTAGAATGTAAAGTACTGGGCAAAAGATTAGCAGAAAGACGTCAGAACTCATGGCTGAACATCTCTTCTGACAAAACACTGCAGGTGCCTGAAAAATATCAATTCTAGTACTCACTTTCTAAAATTCCAAAATTGACAAATTTTATATTTTCAGTAGAAATTAGGACTGTTGTGTAATTGTCTTTCTTGATGTTTTTTCGAGAGTAATTTAAAAAGTAACATTACCAGATTAAAATAAAAGTTGTTGTTCTTAAATTTTCCTTATTGTAGTAAAATAATACATTATATATGAAGCAACACTGATACAAATCCTCGTTCTATACTTTAAGAACTATTAATATTTACAAATTGTAGCTAATGACCTTCATACCTCTTAAACGAAGTCCCAGTTACGACCAAATCTAAGGTACCTATCTCAATAAATTAATGCAGAAAAGATAAAACATACAGATTCTCATACTTTGCAAACTCTATCAGACGCGTTTGAAAAATATTTTAAAAACTATTTGAATGCAGTTTTCGATTCAATTTTAATGAAAAAATTGTTAACTTCGAGAACATACTTTAAGAAAGAAATGTTTCAGATGAAATTTTATAATTTTTATTTATGTATCATTTCAACCTAATTTAAAATAGTGAACTGATCATTGTGCCACACCCTTGCCGTTATACAGAGTCGGGATAAAATATACAACCAAGTACAAATATCTTTGAAACGAAAATCACGATATTCAAGAAAATCTAACACACAAGTACAATGACATTCAACGCTTGTGATGCCATATTTTTGTCACTCCTGTACTTCTAGTTTCATAGGAAATTTTCTCAACTTATGTTATTTAAATGGGATAACCTGTATATTTTTGCAGATTTAAAAAAAATTATTCTTAATTCATACACATCAGGTTTGGTAAAAAAATTGTTAAAACGAGCAATAAATCGCTTTACAGTTACAGTTACAAATGTTCAAAATGCCCGCCATTCACCTCCTGACAATGTGCAAGTATATTAATAAATTTCTGAGTCACTCTTCCATCACATTCATCAATAATTCTTTGTCTAAAATCCTACAAGAACGTTTGTCGCCTGATGTAAATACGTGTCTTACGATAATCTCAAAGAAAAAAATCTAAGGGGTTAGGGTCCGGAAAACAAGTAGGTCACTCTATCAATCCACTACGTCCGATCAATCGGTTTGGAAAATTCGCATTCAAAAAAATCTCTAATCCGTCGATAATAGTGGAAGGCACTCCATCTTGTTGAACCAAAAATTTTGTAGTAACTAACAGTTTTGTTGAACAATAATAATTTGGAGATTTAGTAAATCTACATACTTGTCACCAGTTTCCGTCTATTAAAAAATATGGATCTATAAGCCTATTTTGGACAATTCCCATCCAAACATTAAATTTTTTAGATGCTGGGTATGTACTTCATGAATCCAATGAGGATTCTCATTTTACCAATTCCTTAAGCAAAAAGTTGCCTCATCGGGAAACACTACATTGGTTGCAAAATCTCCGTCGTCATTACAAATCGCAGTAGTAGTAGTGTGTATCTTATATGGATGATACTTTTTAATTTTCAATATTTTCCTTTTCTATTCCAATTGCACTAGTAACGTGCAGTGATTTTTTAAAATTATTATTCTCATTGGTCTAAGTGAATAAATTTACGTATCCTTTAAGGTATGTATATGGCAATTCATCTTTTTTATATTATTATATAACTTTTAAAGATTACAATTTTTTTCCTTTTCTTGCCATTATTCCTGTATCTTGAACGGCAAATCTGAAACATAAAATTCGAGAGGGGTTTAAAAAAGGAGTAGCCTCACGTGATAGTTTACCAGAAAAATTGAAAAGTCTTAAAAAAAAAAACAAAATGGCGGACATTTGAAAAAATTGACGTTTTTGAGTCACAAAAAATTTATTATATTTTTTTTTTGTCGAATTGTGGTAACCTACCATAGGGAAAACCAAAACAAACAAAATGCATCAAGGTTAATTAATATCGACCGATTAAATCTGGAGATTAACTGTCCGCCAGTTTTAAATACGTAGTTTTGAGCGGAGGGTTAACCTCCGGATCTTCTAGTCGATCGATTGTAATAAACCTTGATGGCATTTTATTTGGTTTGGTTTTCTCTATGGTAGTTTACCACACTTTGACCAAAAAAAATATAATAAATTTTTTGTGACTGAAAAAAGGTCAATTTTCGAAATATTTTTTCAAGTGTCCGCCATTTTGTTTTTTTTAAGAATTTAAAATTTTTTCGGATAAAATATTACGGCATATATAATAAATAAGATACAAAAAGAATTGTTGAAATGTTGTCATTTTCTTAGCGTTCGATACGATAATAGTACCTTAACTCTAAAGTAGTTTATTTTTCGTTTTACTTTTTTTTTTCTACCAAACTTGACAGAAGATGAGTTATGTATCATTGTACTTGCGAGTAAAGTTTCGTGAATATCGGTTATTTTTTCGTTTCAAAGATATTGACTTGTTCCATACTTTATCCTATGGCTGTGTATATATATATCGGAAATAAAAGATCTGTACATTTTCAGTCGTAGTAAAAACTGTCATAAGAATTTTTAAGATTTTTTTATAGAATATTTTTATAAATCTGTGTGTTCAAGATTTACGGACCTATCTTTTTTTCGTATATGGAATATAATCTAAAGTCTGTGTGATTATCGCTCAGTGTTTATACGTTTTACTGTTCCATACCAAATTAAGTTTCGGAAACGTGTTTTCTTGTGCCATTTCTATGTTATCTACACATCTAAAATAAACATATTGTTAATTAAAATTAACAATAATTCCCACAATATTTAGTATACAACATACCAAATTAATTGTGATTTCTTTTGTTATCCTTCCTTCCACAAAATGTATTATCACTACATTGATGCTGCGACACTTTCTAGTGGTTAACTGAATAAGTTGAGAAGGGGAGAGCTGTTTGTCTCAAGTTGGTCATTCAGATTTATATATTTTTAAATTTATTAATTTCCATATATTCTAATAAAAATAGCTAAGGCCTTTATTTTGAATGTGGAGAATTTGAAATTGGTCGTTAAAAGAATAATTATAATCTAGAAGGTGAAGTGCGTACGTTGAATCTGTATTTCTATTATTGAAAGCCCTTTTGTGTTCTGTTATACGTTTGTTAAAGTTTTTACCAGTTTGACCGATGTAAATTTTTGGGCAGTCACATAAGTTTCTATAAACCACTGTGTAAGTACTTTTTCTTTTTACTCTTGTTTTTTACGTTTTTGGGTTTTTCTCTGGTAGTGGAAAGGCTAATTTTCGGTCTTTTTATGCATTTTTTGGTTTAAAATTTTGTTAATTTTTTGTTCGTTGTACATATTGTTGCCTACTATTTGATTAATGACATTAAATTATATCTTAAACAAATAGCAGTAAACAATGGGTACAACGAACATAAAATAAACAAAATTTTACACCAAAATTTGGGTTATATACAACAAAAGTAACCACCAAACACATAAAACAATATAGACACATAACACCAGCTTTCGGAACAAACAATAACCTAAGCAAGAATATTAAGAACAACAAGAACCCAAAGAAAAAGTACTTACACAGTGTGTATACAAACTAACATGTGGTGCTGGCCAAAAACTTACATCGGTCAAACGGGTAGAACATTTAACAAACAACAGAACACAAAAGGGTTTTCAGTAATAGAAAAACCGATACAACGTAGGCTTTTCGCCTTCTGGATCATAATCATTGTTTTAACCACCAATTTCAAACTCTCCACTTTCAAAATAAAAACCTTAAGCTATCTTTATTAGAACCTGTGGAAATTAAAAAATACAGAGTGGCTTATAAAACCGGACGACTGGATTCGATTTCCGATACAGACACTAGAAAATTTTCAATTTCCAAAAGGTTACACGAATGTAAGATGTACAATAAACGTTCATTTCTTATATGGTCCAATCGGAAAAACCGTATTACCTTCGTTAAAAATTCATTATCAGCGCTTTCAGTGCTTTTCTTTATTTTTCTTATTTTCTTTATTTTTCTTTGTTATTTACCAAAATTCTCCTATGTTGTGGTGTTCTATCTAATTCTATATTCTTTCTGTTTTTATTGCCATTGTAAAGTTTTTGATCATAGTATAGAATTTAGATTTTAGATAGGTATTAGTTCTTGATTTATCGTGTTGGTAATATCCTTTCCGGCGCCTATAGTTTTTAAAAGTTACTTGTATACGTTAGAGATAGTGTAAGCACTCCGGACCACGGCGCAGTAGACGAAATTTAGTTTATTCCCCACTTCCATGCGAAACGCATTATACTGTGCACTGTATAATTCCTCTTACAATAGAACCTTTCTATCTTTACGTGAATTTTGACTCAGCCTTTGCGCATCTCTATGGTAAGGAATGTTTGCACTATCTTTACAACTGTTTATAATCACATATTCATGTACGATTTTTTTTGGTTTTCCCCCAACTACAAGATGTTCAGTTTTATTCATATTTGTTTTGAGACTTTGTTTTGTGCTGTCTTTGTATCAGTTTTCTAGCAATGAATACACTGTCGTTTTCACCGTTCACCAGGTAATCTATTACCTGATTATAAACAACAAGGTATAAAGTAGTTCTATTCCCATTCTCGAATACATTTTTTTTTTTTCGATATCTCTAGGTTTTTTTTGTGTATATTTTAAACAGATAAGATATAGGCAAGATCTCTGTTTTAACACGTTAAATGTTTCAAAGGGTCGTGATATTTTTTTCTCCCACCTTTATACTGCTTATCAGTGGCTTTTGTATATATGTTATTCAAACCAGACTTTGGGGATCCCCAAACATCTTGTATTATCACTTGTCACGTTGTCGCGAGTTTTTGCCAGGTTTGCAAGTATTCATCAAATTAGGTAATTCTTCAAATTTTTTTCCACTGGCTTTTGTGCCAGTTGTTTTAATGTAAATGTGCTATCGAAACAGGCTAGTACAGTCTGAAAACCGCTTTGTCTTTGGATACTTTCTGCTCCGACTATACTGCGTGTCTCCACATCTACTTTCCCACTTCTCTGTAATATCAATCCATAACCTGTTACTTTCTTTTGTATATTATTCCATATAAATAAAGCACAGTGATCATTTCAACTAAGAGACAATAAAATCGTAGCTACATTTTAGTTCTAACGTCTTGCAGAAAAAAATAGCAACAATGCAATCATTAACGCGTTTTACCTTTTACTTTTTTTATTTATTTACTTTATTTCTTTTGATTTTTATTTTGTTCCTTTACATTATTTTTATTTTTCGTTGATATAAAAAGGCGGATGTACCGTCTGACGATGGCAAATCACCGTTTGTCACCGCACGCGCTGTTACCACCAGAACGGCTACTACCCATGAGGATTTGGGTACGAACGCACGTACCCAACAACTTGAGGAGAAAACTGTAGCTCATTCGATGACGTCGAGCGCCACACGGCAAGAACAAAGAACGGTTACGCAGGAGGTTAAAACGACCAGTACGGTTGTTAGCGGAGATCAGGTTAATATTTATTTTTGTTTTGCATTTTTTGTTTTCAGTTTTCAACTATGAAATTTACAATAATGTATGGTTGATTTTGGTTTTTTACTAATTTTGCCACAAATTGTTTTAATATGGGTATTTGTTAAATTCATTCATGTGTATCTCCATTTGTAAACCAAAACAATAGAAACCAGTAATATGTAATGGTCAAAAACGAAATATTTAAGATTGGTACTGTCTCTAAGTACATTGAATGAATTAATATTATATAGATAAAACTTTACCGTAAGAGCATTCTGTTTACACAGGTTAATAATAATTTATTTTTCTTAAGATTTTATCAAAATCCACTAGAAACTCACCCGAGTTGCCGTCTTGTTCAAGTACTAAGTTGCGAAATTTTTCTTGGCTTTTACTCGAAACTGAAGTCCTGTCTTTTCGTAAACAGCTTTAAGAGCGTCCATCATTCCCATCGAAGTTTCTTGGGTTTTAACTATATCGAAAACATTATCCCCAACTAAATGAATAATAATATCCTTTGCATTCGAATAAATTTTAAGAAAACCGTTGTAGTTATCGTCAGTCCAAGCAGTTTCTCTACTTTCCAATCGAAATTTCCACGAATCAAAACCGGCTCCATTAGATTGTTTTACATTAGTCATACAAAAATTATTGCTGGATTTAGGCATAACTAAATGACACGCGTGCAAAAATTGTGAACACAATTTTTCCTGCAAACTATACTTTTAGAGACACAAATTTTACTTTGTTCACTTTTCTAAATTTCTGCCGCTGGGCCCATAACCTGTTTTATTGTTTTACAAGTACAAGTGTAGAGACTAGTGTCAAATAAGTCATCAGTAATCAACAAAAAGAAAACATCGATAAAATACAAACCAATATACATAAAATAGTTATAGTACTGAATTGTACAGCAACACATTCTAGCAGAAAGTTTTACTATCAATCTTAACTTTCCGCAACTGCGTCCTTAGTTTATTCCTTCCAGTTTGGAATTTATTTAAAGAAAACACATTTTTAATGTTAAATTTAAAATGTAAACTAAAATCAGTTTTTTAATTTTATTAAGAAGCAAATACCGTAACAAAAAATTATCTTCACAAAAAAAGTGAGTGAATTTTAAACTAAGGATACCTAGCCCAATGTGCCTTTGATTCATAAATCTTCTCCTTAAATATAATATTGTCTCTCTAATGGTGGAAGTGACATTAATATTCGAATTCATTTTTTCTTGTTCTTTTATTTTCAACATTAAACTTTTACTGTTTATCTCTTTTTTGAATGATTTTTAATACAAATTTGTTTATAATGTATATTATAAACAACACAAAAGATCAATATTTTTTATTTTTACAAAAAGTTAAAAACAAATTGGTGGTTTCATCATGAATCTTCTGGACCACTGTTTGTTGTCCAACGCAAAGCATTTTTTGTCATTCAAAATCATCATTTTTTTTGTCATCAATTAGTCCTCGTGACACCGCTAACGTAAAATATTTTATTGTAAATGCAGATCCTTCACCTCTTTTACAAAAAATAATGTGTGAATTTAAGAGTGCACATCTGCCAAAAAATACGCATATACCACTTTTTGCTTTTTGGATTTATTTCGTGAGAATTATTGTAGTCCTTTACTAATTGAGAACAAAATATTTCTTCAAAAGACCCATCCTTGTGTTTATTTACGATTTACGATAGAATTATCTGAAGGATTATGAAAATTACTAAATAAGTATATACCTTTTCTAGCCTTCAACCTTCATGTATAAGTGGTTAGGAGGTAAAATAATTATCAAAATGAATTTTTGAGTAACACCAGTAAGGCATCTAGACATATCAATGACAACGCACTGTCCCAGATTTTTCTCTATGACTGTACCAACTTATACCTGAATATATCTCAAAATTGTGTTATATACTCAGATACATCAGTTCTAACCCACACCTTATAACCACATGTTATGGGTTTCTTAGACATATATTGTCGGATCATGATCATCCCTTTAATCGTATGGATTCATCTATACTTTGATTTTGCCCAGGTTCATAGTGTCATCAAGTGCCCTAGTCTCTCGACCAATAGCACACACTTTATGCGCATCGCCCCGCCTACCTCGACTTGGAGATTGTGTATAAATAATCGCACAATCTTAGAGTCAGGATCAGATCAGTTCGCGGATAAGCTACATTAAGATAAACAGGAATAAAGCGGAGATGCGCTGTCCTGAGTTTTCACATACGGTTAGGAAACCATGTTGGGGTTCAATTACCCAGGACATCCACATGAAGAGCACTTGGCTGATTGTTGTGCCTCTATAGCGAATCAGATTGCTATAGGGGGGAAAGGGATGGTCTAGAGCATTGGAGCACGGTGGGGTGATTCCTGTTTTTAAACACGAATTAAAACACCTTGCTCCAATGAATTGTTACACCCGATCGTACTACCTGGGTGAACATGTCTCATAGGCTGGGTTCAATCAAATTGCTTGAGTCAGGATCAGTCGTTAGACCACGGCCTCACCTAGAGCATAGTCCGCTGTAGGGGGTCACCGTTCGGGACTCTGCTCCATTGTTACCGCAAATTTTAGACTCTGTAGCTAGTCTTCACTCTTCAAAAAGTTTTATTTCAACAATGGCCTACCTTATTGTACATATAAGAAATTTCATACTAAGTCTTTATCAAGACTTGGTAAAAACCACAACATCCAGAAGATAAATTGGATAAATGCTTAGGGGTACTTCGTACACAATACACAAAGCTCCTAAGCAGAGTGGAGAACTTCATAGGTCCACTCATACTGCGACGACAATAGTAATGACGAAAAGTTAGTGATAATTTATTCAAAAGTGCTCTGATCTTGAATAGTTTGTCGTACCCAGCTTCTCCGTATTTTACTTCAGTCCTATTGCTCACTATATGCAATCTGCCTAAAATTCCCAAAAAAAAATATTTTCAAAAATTACTAGAAAATGCTCTTATAGAATTAGTCCCGAAGGCCGGAGCGACCTTGAAGTACACCATATTCATTGTTATTTTAAAAAGTTATAAACAATTAAAAGTGCTAAAAAGAGTAGAAAAATCCAGCATTTTGTTTTTTGCTTTCGGATACTTCGTTTCCAAGAAATTATGACACCGACCAGTAAATCGGATGAGTTTGGGCGGCCATTTTCAGACTTACATTGGGAAAAAAAGGTTTCAAGTAATTTAATTTATCTATTTTCACCTGCAAAAAGTTTGATCTTCAAATATCTTGATACTATCTATGTACTAGATATAAATTTTATTAAAAAAAATCGATTTTTGGAAGAACCTGGTCTTAAGCCACCAAAGCTCCAGGGAGCTTTGCTTTTAATATAATATTAATATATCCATTTAAATTCGCAGGTAAAAATTAAAATTGAATTAAGCATTGTATCTACTCTTAATTTTTTTGTTTTCTCAAAAAAAGTTATTTTGAAAATTTTGGAAAAAATATTGAAAAAAAAAGTCGAATCATAAAATATTTGAACGTAAAATTCTACTAAAAGAAGTTAAGTAAATTCAGAACCATATTTAAAAGTGTACTTATTGGGGACGATAATGGAAGCCACCTTTTACTGAAATACTTTATTAAAATTAAGCAATAATATATCATAAGTAAATGGTTTACAAATGGAGTATTTAACTCTTCTCAACACAAACAAGATCCATTTACAATATCAATCTCATAATTGTGCACAATCAACCAGAAAATTCATTATAAACTTTTAAACTACATTTTCTATTTTAAAAGCTGGCACTTCATAAAGAACCGACATAGTCAGCACCTGCTAAATACATTCAAATTTATCTTGGAACAACTACATCGTTGTTTTGTTAACCAACATTTTTATTTTTCATTTCTAACAATGCATGGCTTATATAGCTGGGCAGACGAGACAGCATTAGTTCGACTAGTTCAGGTGATTCAGGCACACCCATTGATCCGCCTGACGATCCCAATCATCCATATTACAACAGTCCTATTTACAAGGTAGAGTATAACGATTATATCGATATTGTACAGAATAAATAAATTTCTGATGTGAAAATAATTTACATGTATGTATTCTAAATATTACTATATATTAGAATATACAAATATATTAAAAAAATTCTAAGGTTTTGTAAATTGTAGATTTCAATAGTTGGGCCTTGTAGACTTTTCCACACTATGAGCAGAAAGATCTACTTACATGTTTTAAGTTTAAAAGGTTTAGAATTCCGAACTAGCCTATTTCGGAGTTAATAATATTGAGAAATATTTTCCCAGTAGGCTGCACTAAATTTGTTTTCGAATTTTTTGACAACTTCCGCGGATGAAGATTTTTTAATACTGTAGAATGGATTTAGTAAAATAAAAATTCCTTCTTTAGCAAGACTATGGGCAATTCCTTAGTGCTTCGACTTCTTGCCAGTTGGAGAGAACCACCACAAATCTTCATCTTCGTACTGCTTTAAGATAATTGGTATTTACACCAGCAACTTACGGAGATATTAGATGGCGTTGGTTCTGTTCTCGGCCGCGACTAGTTCACGTTCGAGACGCATCGCCCCGCCTCTTATTTTTTGAGAGCACTAAACTCTCTCACCGAGAGTTTAGTGCTCTCGGGGCTCTGCTTCCTTTTTAGCTTTCCATACTCTGTGGCTGAGTAGCTATTCAACTTTAAACTTGGTGTTTTATTTCGACTATTTAGTCATGTAAGAAATATCTTGCCTTTATTAAGGCAAGTCATCGAAGAACCACGAACCTGATGTTTATTTCGACTTGTAAGAAGACTAAGTCATGTAAGAAATAGCTCGTCTTTATCAAGACGAGCCATCAGGAGACAAAACATTTTGAAGTCCATACCCTGAAAATGGACAAAAGTAGAGGAGCTCATGATGTTTCCGAAGCCCCTCTACAGAGCACACGGTGGTACAGAAGGTGGCAAGACCCTTTCCATTTACCCCGAGGTGACAGTTCTTCCTAGCTGGCGATTACTGTACTTTGTTGTGTTTTTACCAGATGGTTAAGAGACTATTTGCAGTGTCAAACTATTACGAACTAATAAATTGTAGACTCCATAGTCTTTAGTGCAACTTGGCTGTAAGAGGCAATAAATATGTTACCCCAATTGAGACGTTTTTTACGACACTCTTAATCACATAAATCTATTGCTATATTATATTGAAGATAAAGGAATCGTTCTGTTAAGGGACTTCTGGCGCGACGGGTACTTAAAAATCGCTTATGATCGCTGGCTGACCTTTTTTCAGCTTTTATTGAACTTCATCGTCATTGTACTTTGTTTGTTCATTCTCCATTCTTCCTACGAGAAGCAGGGGAAAGGACGGTCATATAGGTAGACCCTAGGATAGGGAAAATGTTGCAAACTTGATTGTCGCCATATACCAAAAGTTGAGTACTTCTTAGCGTCCATTCGATCGTGTTCATCTTACAAAATTAATGACCGAGCGTGAAAAGTACCTTGTGGGTTTCCAGGACAATGTCTCACGGCTCCCATAAGAACATCTATTCCCAGTAACTCTTGCAACATGGTAGTTTAGATGTTATGATGTTAATAGAGAAATAATCCAGCAAAATTATTACAAAAATGGAATTCAAGCCATATAGATCAAAATTTCAACCTTTTCAAAGATTCATCTCTGAGTTTCCGGATCTCGGATCCAGGTTAAAGTAAAAAAAATTGTTGGCCTCAGGCACTTTGTTTTATTGGAACGCAAAAAAAGAAACAAAACTCAAATTCATGCAGTTTATTAACACGTTGCCTGCCGTCTATGTCTATGTGACCGAGAAAAAATTTCTCTGCACGCCAGCGAGGTCTATTTGACCGGGAATTTTAATGTAACTGTGATGCCGTCTCGGTGACTATGGTGTGAACGGAAAGTATTACAAAATCCTCTACGGCAGGTAACCAGTTAAGGCCTTATACAAGGAAACAACATCAGATATTTAGGTTACGTATTTTCTGAACAATCGAAAGCAAAACGATATTCGTAGCTTTACGACATGAAAAATCGTTTCCATAGTAGAGGTCAATGAGACGACAGCTTGAACCGCCCTAAAAATCTTAGACTATAAAGAGTATAAAAATTTTGAATTTTCTGTGAGCTTTAAACTCTCCTTCTTGAGATCTGATTGATTACTTTTCAAAAATAATAACTGAAATATTTAATGAAATATACAAGGCAGGAAAAATACCACTAGAGTGGCTCAAGTCGGAATTCGTACCATTGCCCAGAAAAAAGGGAGTTAAAGTTTGTGCAGACTATAGGACCCTAAGCCTAATGAGCCATCTGCTAAAGCTGTTTTTAAAAGTGATCCACAAAAGAATTTACCGGAAATGCGAGGAACAAATTGCGTCCAATCAGTTTGGATTTGTGAACACCGTTGATACGAGGGAAGCTTTTTTTAGCGCGCAGGATTTGTTTCAGAAATGTAGAAGTGTCAGATGTGATGTTTTTGCATGCCTGATTGACTACAAGAAGGCTTTCGATATAGTCAGGCATAAACAAATAATGGAAGTGTTGAAGAGGACGTGGGAAGAGACCTAAAAATAATAGCTAACCTGTATTGGAATCAATCAGCGGTTCTCCGAATAGATGGAGAATATACAGATCAGGTCAAAATCTTCAAAAGGGGAGTGAGACAGGGGTGCATAATTTTGATATGCAATCTGTACTCGAAGCACATGTTTGAAGAGGCTCTAAAAGATATTGATGAAGCCATCTCAATAAATGGAGTCAAGCTCAATAAAATGCGATATGCAGATGATACAATAGTGTTTTCCAGCACCATAGAAAGGCTGTAAAACTGAATGAACAAAATAACGGAAACAAATAGAACATATCTAACATAGGAGCAAATCTGTATGTGAACCAAATGAGAATTGAAAGATTCTCACAGTACAACTACTTGAGAACTATAATCAATGAGTCGTGGTACAACCAAGAGATTAAATGTCGCATCGGAAAGGCGAAAAGTATATTCTTGACTGTGAGGTCTGTGTTCTAGAGCCATGACCTTACCCTAGAAACAAAAATAAGGCTCCTTAACTGTTACATGTACTCAGTGCTTTTGTACAGAGTAGAAACGTGGACGTTGAAGGCGTAAACTCTATCAAAACTGCAAGCTTTTGATCTATAGTTATACAGAAGGATCCTGAAGATGTCATGGATAGACAAAGTCACCAATGAAGAAGTACAATCATCGTCAAATTGATTCTTTTAGCGAAAATCCTTTATGTGCATGATAGAGTATAAAGCAGTAAATAATAAAATTATATCAAAAGATCCGAAAACCCTATGGTTTGCTAACTTTTTTTCTAGCGATGCAAACTAGCTGGAATGAACACACTTATGATACTTGTGGTTTCGGAATGCCAAAAAGGTAACGCACTGTGGGAAAAGATTGTTAGAAACGAAACTACGTCAAATTGATTCTTTTAGCGAAAATCCTTTATGTGCATGATAGAATATAAAGCAGTAAATAATAAAATTATATCAAAAGATCCGAAAACCCTATGAACTTTTTTTCTAGCGATGCAAACTAGCTGTGGACGATGAACACAACCGCGGAGTTGGTCAACATCGTGAAGGGCCGTAAGCTGCAGTACTTGGGACATGTAATGAGAAATGAAGGCAGATATGAGCTACTCCAATGCATTTTGCAAGGTAAAATTTAAGGAAAAAGGACCCCAGTACGAAGAAGAATATCTTGGCTTGCTAACCTGAGAGTATGGTATAGAAAGACCTCAACACAGCTATTCCGAATAGCAACCAACAAAGTCATCATAGCCAGAATGATCGCCAACGTTCGGAACGGACAGGCACCCTAAGAAGAACTTTTCAAAAAATCTCAACTTAGAATTCAAGAACTATTTTAAAGGTTTTACCAGGTTACAAAAGAAATGGAGCAAAAGTATCTAGGAAGGCGAAATATAGTCAAGATTGATGACTGTAATTTGCAATCAGACAGTTACCTTTTCTAGGTTCCGGAAAAAGTTCTGTCCAAGTAAAAAAGACGTGATTATAAAGATTTATAATAATAATTTAAAATGTTTTATGACAGAATATTTATTTTTCTTTTAATTTCAATTCTATTTGCCAATTATATTCTACTGTTTTGTGAAAATGTTTGTCATGATGAAAAAAAACATAGATCAAAACAATTTTTTAAGTTTTTGTATTCTACTAGTTTGATGGTATGTGGACTAATACAATATTATTTTCTCTTCATCTTTTTCAACACACTTTAAATTTTTTAGAAAATTGAAGGTTATGAACACATCAGATATTTATTGATCAGTTCTCATAAAAAAACTGTTGTATAAAATGTAAGTAAGCATGATCCGTCACTGTGTGTTTATGAAGAATTCTGCATGCATGTTATGGCCGTTTTGTTACTTTTTTTTGGCATTACGATTTGTATTTGTAGGAAAAATTTAGTCGATATATTTTTTCAATTGTAGTGCTTTTAATTATTGAGACGTATTTAGTATAAACAGAATATCTATCTTATTTTAGGTTTCATATGAATAATATATTTTGAAATTTATTTGTGGTTTTGTTAACATTATTTCATATACTTCGTGAACTAAACCACAGTAGTGTACATCCAAATCGGATTCAATTACCGAAAATGTGAAAGATTGTAATGTTTCATTTGTTTTTATCGTACTTCTATTTTATATGTTTTACCTATCTTCATATCATCTGTAGCTACTGATATATGTACTAAGTTTCAAATATACGTTAAACAAAAATACAACATAATGTTACCATATAAAAGCATGAGCATACAGAAGCGTTGACGAAAGAGCTTTCACCATCAAAAGTCATTATTCTCAATTTTAGATGAACGGAATATCAATCAAATAACACACCTCGCTTGTCTTATTCTTTAGTCTAAATGATTACAGTTATTCCAAAACGTTTCCGGTCCAGTCTGACCGTCATCAGTAAAAAGGGGACTACTTTGCCCACCGGGTGAAACAAGCAAACTCTATTAGAATGTGCTATTACATCATGCTGCTATTAAAATGAATGACTCTTGTTAAGATTGTCAAATTGCGATGAAAGAGGAAATTACTTTCAAGGGCGTTTCGAAACGTGTTAAAAAAACACGATATTGACCTTATCACATTGTTCGTGATCAGCATAGTCTTCCAATGGAAAAAATGACGAGCCTTAGACAAGAATCTTTTGTCACAGTTGTTATTATTATTGTTAAGATGTTTAAATTTTTATCTTCGATTCTTTTACAAACGTAAATAAAAGAGCAAATGCAGATTTGTCTGAATAGGATAACAGGTTGTTGATATTAACTGATAGGCTAATGTTGACTAAAAGTCTGCATTTAGGTTCTGAGTCTGATTCCGATGATAAATTTATTATCCTATAGACTAATTTGATGACTCTCCAATGACTCCAATCTTTTTTAATCTTTCTCCAGATCGTCCAGAAATCTTAACTTAGTTCGTTCTTCTTCTCCTGGTCAGCTTATTTAGACTAGTTATTTTAACCGGGTCATTTCCATCGGTAAAATGGCTCACCCATCTCAGGCAGTTTATTTTGACGGTTTTTACGATCTCTGTATAACCAAAAAGTCTATATAGTTCATAATTATAGGACCTTCTCCATAGACCCTATTTTTTAACTCCTCCACACATGGCCTTCGATATTTTTCTTTCAAAAATTTGTACCAGATCGTGTCATTCGATATCATCTTTATTTCCGATCTGTAAGAGCACTGGGAGTATTGAATTGATAAAGTTTTGCATTTTATTTATCTTGACATACTTCTAGTGATCTCGGTGATCTAAAGTAGCAGAATTCTTGATACGTAATTTCCTACAAATATTATGAAATGAAGGCATATATACCATTATTTGTAGATGGTAGATTTATGTTAATTCACGAACATTTTCCAACGCTAGGTTAAACAGCGTGTAGGATACCGCATCTACTTAGGACAGTCACTTGTTAGTTTTAAATGTTCTGAAATATCTCTTTGTGCTCGCACGTTACACATTCGACTTTCCACTGCCATTTTTGTTGACTCTACCAATATTTAGATATTCTCGAGGCCTACCAGAGCCGAATATAACGCTCACCTATCAATAATATCGTAAATTGCCTTAAGTCGATCATATCCAAATATAATTGGGACCTGTCAATAGTATCATAACTTCAAGGTAGTGCCAGTCTATACCAAATTCTGCAGTTTTTTGTAGCATATGTTTAATGGATGATATGTGTCTTGCGTAACATATCAGGAACCAAATCTTGTAAGCCTTATTAAGAACGAAAATCCCTCAAATGGAGCACTCAAGCATGTTTTTTTCTTGTGTTTATAGACATAAAGTACCTGTATTCCATTCTTCAGGTAAACAGCATTCTCGTCTTACCTGTGTTAGTAGCTTATGAAAGAGAATTACAAACTTTTGACCACTAAATTTACATATTTCTCCATGTAGTTTGGTCCATGTAATTTGTTCTGGTTAGCAACTGGATTTATTTATTTCCCTAATAGTTGATGGTTCATGATATCATTATTATCTAGCCTTCAACGCCCACTGCTAAACATAGACCTCTCGCATTCTTTTTCACTTAGTCCAATTTTGCGCCATCTGAATCTAATAATTGTCACTCTTTTTATGCCATCGGTGCATCTCGTGGGGGCTCGACCTCTGTATCGATTAGCTTGGTTTTGAGGTCTACATTCCAAAATTCTTTTCGTTCACCGATCCTTAACTGCTCTTGCTACACGATCTGCTCAGTTCTATTTTAATGTTGCTATTCGTTGAATAACGGCTGCTACTCCTAATAATTTGCGTATAGTAGCATTATGTATTCTATTACGTAGAAAAACTAACATTATTCTCTTCGTTGTTCTTTCCGCAACTTGTAGTTTACTTAGATGGGTCTTGTGAGTTTTAGGGTTTCCCCACCATAGGTCGTCACTGGCAGAATGCACTGATTAAATATTTTCTCTTCGGACACATTGGAATGTTTAACCTAAAAATATCCTTCATCTTTTCAAATTCTGCCCAAACTAGGTTTATTTTTCTCTTCAGCCCGATTGTTTGATTGTCTGACCTCATGACCTAAAGATTCACTCTTTTATGGCAGTATGGAGCTCTTGGAGCATTATCTACGCCTGTTCAAAATTGGAATGGAGGTGTTTTTTTTTACCTCCATCCCTGTAAACTTAAAGAAAAAGGTGTATAACACATGCATACTACCAGTTTGTACAGTTGCGGTCACGGAATAGTTTACAGGTTCACGTATCTAGGAGCCCATTTTTTAAATTTTTACTTCGTTTAAACGCACCTTTTACGTCAAAGTGACGTTGCCAGTGGTGTACTAGCTAGAATAGGTAGATTAAAATTAAAATATCAAAATATTTTACAAAATGAAAAATATAGAAAACAGTTTTTTGAATAAAATGAATTATGATCTTAATAACGAAAATAAAGAAGTCTTTTTTTTTAATATGCATGTATTCTAACCATTTTGGAAGAGTTTAATATACTTTTATTTTATTGTTGAACACTCGCGAAAGCATTGACGTTTTGAAATTTTTTGACTTTGACATTTATCAAATCCGTACGACACTGCAATTTTACAGTATTACAATATAAAAAGTAAGGTGTAAACTATTTCGTGACCGCAACTGTACCTACGGCTTGGAGACAGTAGCCCTTACCAAAAAATCTGCTAAAAAATTAGAAACAACGCAAAGAGCAATGAAACGAATCATGCTTGGAATATCCCCGGGAGACTAGATTAGAAACACCGAGATAAGACGTAGAACAAAGATCAGGGATATTGTGGAAGAAATTACAAAAATGAAATGGCGCTGGGCAGGTCACGTAGCCCAATATAATGACAACAGGTGGACACGGAGAATTCTAGAATGGAGACCAAGAACGACAACAAGAAGAATGGGAAGACCTCAAAAAGATGGGTAGATGACATAAGAGCAGTGGCAGGCAAACAGTGGATTAGATTGGCGCAAGATAGAGAAAGATGGAAGCAATTGGGAGAGACCTACATTCAGGAGTGGATGGAAAATGGTTGACAAAGAAGGGTTCAAAACTGTCCGCGATAAGAACGATTGACTGATCCACATTATTACCTTCTCGTAGTTCAGTTTCTTCTTATTCGAATTCTATAGGATCTTTACGTCTACTTTCTCCATAAAGTATCGTAATTAGGCATAGAATTCTTAAATTATCCAGCAAAAGTAGTAGCTGGATCAGTTGGCAAAATAAAAAAACTCGAGGATCTGTTTAAGGTATCTTTGAAATTTTTACAATTTTCTTAATTTCTGTTTTTCATTCATCATACATGACATAGCTTCAAAAATAATCATCTAGCCTTCCACATTACATGAAAGCACTGCTTACATTCAATAATCACATTGCAATTCCTCATTTGTGTGGTTCTCTTAACAATTAATTTAAATTTACCTAGCGGAACAGTTGTAAATATGTTTTCTTATTAAATTTCTTTGTTGTTGGTAGTATAAGACAGTCACATCTATCTCAATACAACTGATGCGTTATAAATAACAAATCACGGAAAATTTTGATCTTCAGAGAAGAAATAACAAAAAATAATATTTGAGTAAAAAATGGAAACCAAGATTGGATCAAGATATGACTGGTTCATTCAACAATTATCTGCAGTTTATGAAAGCCACTGGCCTTTAATCTAGATCTCCTCTTTTCTCTCCCTCTCTCTCAACTCTCTGTCAACGAATTAAAGAGTCGTATGCATAAATGCTATTGATATTAATGCCTCTTCTAGGGAGCAAATACAGCAATGCTAAATGTTATTTTATACTGTGTGAAATACCAATGATAAATAAAAACCCAAATGAAAAGGCACTCATAGATATCATTTAACTAAGGATAGTGTAACGTTTAGGCCATGTAATCACAGCCAAGATAATTTCCTACAATTATTAAAGAAAAACACAAGAAACTATAGTAACACAATACAGAAGCAATATCTAATGCGAAATCAGAAAGAAGAGCATAGATACAAAGTGTTTCACAAACAAAAATTTGAAAAAAAAAAGATACTCTCGGTAGTTCCTAAATTGGTAGCTACTGATTTTGTTTGGAATTGTATCTCCTTCTTAAATCTTATCTTCTAAACAAATAACTTTTTGGTATTCTCATAATAGCTTAATCTTTATGCACTTCGTATATTCAATGTCAATTTTTGTATACTAATTAAAATAATTAACAATTGTAAATAATTTTTAACCTATTTTTTTAGGACAACATACCAGAAGGAATAGTACAAACGGAAAGTATTGTTTACCGTGGAGATCCGACCATTATTCACTCTACGACGAACGTTCCAGTGGTAGCTACCGAAGCGCGTAAGGTCAACTTGACGTCAGACGATGGATCTTACAGTGCCACTGGTGAAATCATCAGCTCACAAACTATCAGTTCTAAGACTAGAACTGTAGAAACGATAACGGTAAGTATTTGAACTTAAAACGACACATTGTTTGTGTGTAGATATGCTGAAATCTATTTAACCAACATTCCAATGCTTGAAATCCTCTATCTGTACATGCACCGCCACACCTACCACTAGGTTCTTTAAAATGTTGGTAAAGACGTTTTGCCTTCTTTCTGCAGACCATTGGAGCACTCAAAGGCACCCTTTTTTGTTGCGGTCTTGGATCCAGAAAGACAACGCCATTTCCATTTTTTCTATTGCTGGATCAGGAACAATTTTCGCTGACTGTGATGTTGAAGCTACAAACGACCTTATTTTATCTTCGGATTTTTTTATCGATGGTACAGTTGATTCGTTAACATTGAATGAAAGTGATGGATGCAAACGACTCTCCAAGGCATTAACGATCAAGCATTTCTATTTTTTTAGTCGACATTATAAATTAGGATGAGACGTGTTACTCGATCACAATTTTTGTAACAAATGGAAAAGTAAAACAATAAAACACGCTTTGCGGCTCTTACCAAAAGACGGAACGTCCAATTGTGGCAGAATTTAATAATTTATGTTTTGAGTAATAAGTTTATTTTACCTAAACATTCTGAATCGTTGAACCAAACAAACAACGTCGATAGCTTTTGAAAACACAATCTAGGCCTAGTTGTAATAAGGTCAAGTTTATTTTTTTATTAGTTCACTTGCTGACGCGTTGACAAAGAATGTCTATTGCTTTTTATTTATCTATTTATGTACCGATTTAATAGATTTAACAGAGAAAATTAATAGATGGAGTGAATACATAAGAGAATTATTTGAGGACAACAGAAATAACATTGTTCTGATATATGGCGAAACGGGACCTGAAATTCTAAAATGTGAAGTAGAAATGGCACTTAAAAATTCCAAAACTGGGAAGGCAAATGGACCGGATGAGGTTCCTACCGAATTGCTAAAGCTCTTGAATGATGAATCAATAGGTATAATATTGCACTTATTTAATACAATATACAATACTGGCATTATACCTCAAGAGTGGCTGTTGTCTACATTCGTTACACTGCCAAAGAAATCTAATGCTAAAGAATGTTCAGAACATCGAACAATATCTCTAATGAGCCACCTACTAAAGATATTTCTAAAAATCATCCACAACCGAGTTTATCAAAAGTTGGAGTCAGATATTAGTAATACACAGATGGGGTTCAGAAAAGGGCTTGGTGCTCGAGAAGCTCTCTTCGGTTTGAATGTTCTCACACAAAGAAGCGTTTGACAGAGTACGCCATGATAAGCTTAGAGAGATTCTTGAAAGGAAGGACATAGATAATAAAGATCTGCGAATAATTCTCAATCTATATTGGAATCAGAAAGCTAACATCAAAATAGAAACTGAAACATCACAAGCAATAGAAATACGTAGAGGAGTACGACAGAGTTGCATTTTGTCACCTCTGTTATTTAATGTATATAGTGAAAGCATCTGTCAGGAAGCCCTTTTACAAGCAAACGGAGGAATCGTAATTAATGGAGAGATTGTAAATAATATTCGATACGCGGACGACACTGTACTAGTTGCAAGAACAGTAGAAGAATTACAAAGATTACTTACAGACATAAATATTGCTTGCAACAATTGGTATAAATGGTATAAATATCAATATTAAAAAAACCAAGTATATGGTCTTCAGTAAAAACATGACACAACCAGCGTATATTAGTATAAACGGCACTGAAGTTGAAAAAGTATCAAGTTACAAATACTTGGGAACTTTAATAAACGAAACTGGAGACCAAAACAGTGAAATAAAAAGACGTATCGAAATTGCCAGGGCCACCTTCATAAAGATGAGAAAATTCTTCTGCAACAGAAATATAAGCATCCCTCTACGATTAAGAATGCTGAGAGGCTATGTATTGAACACGCTATTATACGGTGTAGAGGCCTGGACTCTCAAACAGAACAACATGAAAAATATTGAAAGTTTCGAGATGTGGTGCTAACGTCGAATGCTGAAGATTAGTTGGGTTGAAAGAATAACAAACTGTGAAGTAATACGAAGAATAGGAAAAGACCCAGAGATTTTGTTAACGCTAAAGCGAAGAAAACTCGAATGTTTTGGTCACCTGATGAGAGGACATAAATACGCATTACTTCAAAATATAATGCAGGGAAAAATAGAAGGAAAACGAAATCCAGGCCGTAGAAGAATGTCATGGTTGCGGAATTTGAGAGAGTGGTTTGGCTGCACCACTAATGAACTCTTTAGGTCAGCCGTAAACAAGGTCAGAATAGCCTTGATGATTTCCAATCTCCGATAGGAGTGGCACAAAAAGAAGAAGTACCGATTTGAACCTCGAATAGTGAAAACTCCAATGAAGCGCGAATAAGGAGCTTTTATTGTATATTAATCCTTCATGTCTTGTATTCTCGAAAGCCTCTTGGTAATCGATAAAGCAAGACATTCCATCACCGGTCGTAGCATTTTTGTACCAATAACTGCATGCAAAAAAGTGCCTTTCGTGTTCCTAAACTGTTTTTGAAAGCGAACTGAGTGTTTCTCGTTCTCTCTTCACATTTGTTATAAATTCGCTTATAATCGCTTTGAGTATGTGGCTCATTAAGCTGTTTAGGCGATGATCTTCGTAACGACTGGCGTTGTGCTTCTTTGGAATCATATACAGTGCTAGTTAAATGTCCGTTCCCCCTCGTATCATTTGAACGGTTATACTTATAATAGTGAAATTTGGAGGGAGGTAATAAACAGGCGTAGGCTTCTTAAATAATCATAATAAGTGACATAATAGTGGCAGATGACATTACAGCGCCACTGTGATAGATAATTCTTAACGGGATCTTATGGCAAGTGATTCCTCGTTTGAAAGGTATTGAAAATACTTATTCAGTCATAATAATGTTGGTTGATATTTTGATGAATAAATTAAATAAATACTAAAATTGTAGCTTTTCATTTAATAAATAAATATTTAACAACCAGTTCTTACAGTAACTGTTCAAAATGTGCTCCATATACTTCCTGACAGTAATGCATCCTATTTCTAAAATCTTGCCGTTCAAATGTGACGGGGGAAATTGCCCTACATTCTTCAACAATTCGTTGTTTCAAAATGTCAATATCGTCGGGTACTGTAGCGTAAACTTTAGATTTCATTCCCACAGAAAAAAATCAAATGGTGTTAGGTCCGGTGACCGAGCTGGCCATTATATCGTACCTCGTCGTCCAATCCATCTACCACGATATTCCTCATCTAGGTAACGTCTTACTGCACCATAATGGTGTGCAGGAACACCATTATGGTGCAGAAAATATTGTTGAAACATTATTTTCAAGTTGCCGAATTCATCTGGATTATCCTCCAGAATTTCGAAGTATTAACGGTTTTGTAACATCTCTAGATACACTTCACCGGTTAAGTTAGTATTGAGAAAAACAGGTCCAACTATATGGTTTCCCAACATTTGTTGTGTGTGTTAACATTTTCATTGAGAAAAAAAGTACTTTCGTCGCTAAAACAAATTGTTTTTATGTAATCGGGCTGTTGGTTAATTTTATTGGACATATTTTCATAGAATTCTAGTCTTCGTTCAGGGTCATCATCTTCTTCGGAAAGTTGGTGCACAATTTTTAATTTGTATGGATGAAATTTGTTTTCAGCCAACACTCGATGTACTGTATTTTGACTTATTCTATAGATAGATGCAACTTGGGCTGTAGAAGAAGTGAGCTGTAGAAGTACTACCATTTCTGAAATTATGTCAATTTTTTTTGTCATCATTAATTATTGGTCGACCAAATCGTTTGACATCTTGAACACTACCTGTTTCTTTAAACTTCCGAAGAAGCTTCCTCAAATAAGCTCTCGATGTAGAGCGATCGGGATACCTCTCATTAAAAAGACGTTCCGCTGCATGGAAATTATTTCCACATTCACCAATTATTAACACAGCTGCTACTTAGTCGGCTACAGTACGTACCATTCTGCCTTTGTACAAATTTAAACAACTTGTTAAACAATAATTAAACTAAATATTAATAAGAATAACTAACTAAAACAACTTGACCAAACTTGAATTGACTAAACTATGCAGAAACAGAAACTAAATATTCAGGTATAAACGCGTTTGCAAACTAAAAATAACTAGAAAATTGGTTAAACTAGCAGAAATAGAAACTAAATATTGAGCTATAAACGCTTTTGCAAACTAAATATAACTAGAGAATTGACAAACTTCAACTTTTTTGACAAATGACGAAAGGCGGGCGGTTAGAATTTGTATTAATCAAATGCCAAACTAGAATTTTATTATTTATTTAATTTATTTATCAAAATCATCTTAAATCCAAAAAAAAATAATATGATTGAATAGGTATATTAAAATAATTGTAGTTTCGCATTTAGTTAATAAATATTGTAATGTCAGCCTCTGGTTAATTGTCAAAAAAGTTGACGTTGGCGTAAAAACAATTAGAGAATTGAAAAACGTCAACTTTTAAACAGGTAACCAGAGCACGGTTAGTAGATATTTAAGTAGGTTGCCTCGTAACTATAGACCAATCAAATGCTCGCTTTTTAAAAGCGGGAATACGTCACCCATACGACACTTTTAAAATTGCCATAAGCTTTAATGCTAATAAAAGGTTCAAAAACTTAGGTTTTGCAATATATTTTGGGATTTTCTTGGGTATAAAGATGTTAAGTGGTTCTTATCAAAAAATAGAATTGATAATATTGATAATATTGTGTGTTTTAAACGGAGATAACAGTTTATTTCGCACAAAAACTCAAAAAAGCAGTAGAAAAAGTTCAAAAGCAAAAATTCTAAATATGTAGGAACTTACTTTTTATGTTTTTCCTGGAATTTGCAGCATTCTTATCATATCTAGTGGTAGGCAAAAAAAAACAAATAGGCAATATAAATAATTTATTATTAGATTAAAATACAAAAAATGATTAGTCCTTCAAACACACATCTTCCAGCCACAAAGCCACTCATCTAAAAAATATTTCATTATTATAACGTACAAAACTACATATAATTGTTAGACAAACCTTGATATCACAGCTACAACACACTTCACAAGTGTTTATATACACAAATAACTAAATAATAAGTCTCTACAAATAATATTGTCCTTATACTTATACTTAAAAATAAAAACTAAACAATAACTAAACAAATAAACGAACTAATTACTATAGGAAAATTCCACAAAAAAAATATACGAATACAAACGTGAACTTAAACTCAGACAACTGTCAAATTTGACGTTGTCGTATGAGTGACGTAAGCATTCTGCCTTCCCCTCGCTTCGCCCACATAGTTACGAGACAACCTACTTAAATATCTACTAACTTTGTAACCAGAGGCCAGTTTTATTATTTATTAATTAATTAAATGTGAAACTACAATTTTAGTTTTTCAATGCTTTTCAAACGAGGTATCACGTTATTAGTTGTCTGTGGGTATCACTTGACATAAGGTCCTTTTTGAAATTATCTGTCACAGTGGAGCTGTAACGTCATCTGTTACTATTACGTCACTTGTTATGACTAGTTAAGAAGCCTATGTCTGTTTATTACTTCCCTTCAAATTTCACTAATATAAGTATAACTGTTCAAAAGATACGAGGGGGGAACGGACTTTTGACTAGCACTATATGTTATTAATGCATAAGTTCTTGATATTGAATAGTTAACTATTTCCACATTTACGTTGTTATAGATTATGTAAATTACGTTGATAAATGTTAAGTGACAATTAATTTAAAACTAAGAGTTTGTTTTCAAGGAATTCGAACATCGAATTGTGTCTAAAAAAGATCTTTTGTATTACAATAATTATTACAAAGTATTTTTCTTGATCGTACGGTTCGTAGTTGTCGAAGTAAATTGTAAATTCATTTATATTCTGTAACTTATTTTCCTGTGTTTATTTCACATCCTTAACTTTTTTCAATGTCCTGTAGCGATGAATTTTAGAAGATGTTTTGCAAGCGTTTCCTTCTTTATATTAATCATATATATCTAACCTCCAAATTTACTGGGTTTTGTAAGAATCAATGATTAAATCCTGTTACTGCTTGTTCGTTCAACGTCTTTAATTCTGTCTTAAAGCATCTAATTGAATGTTTGAAATTTTGAAATCATATTTTTAAAGTAGAACCTCAACCTTTTCCTATCTATGGGTCCATCCAAAATAAATCGATTATCATCCTCTCTAGGAAGTCGAAACTGTAAGAAACTTTATATGTTTTCAGTATAAAACTGAACGAGACGGAGTAGTCGAAACGAGAGTGGAACAAAAGATAACTATCCAATCAGATGGAGATCCAATCGATCACGACAAAGCTCTGGCCGAAGCAATTCAAGAAGCAACAGCTATGAATCCCGATATGACCGTGGAAAAGATCGAGATTCAACAACAGACCACACAGTAACATGTGCGGGATTATTTTTTTATATATAAATAGTGTACACTTTACATATTTTTTATTCCAGAGCGATTAGCACAAGTAAAGGTGTTACACTGGTTAGCTCCCCACAAACTAAATCTTTAGGCATACCCCCTTTGCAAAGCTAAATGTAAATTATTTAACAGATATGTTTAAAATATCGAAAGTGTTTATTGATGTAAAAATCGTGCTTGAAACACGAAGTTTATCCTCTCAAAAGAAAATATGCTTTGTATGTATATTTAATGTAATATTTGTTTAAAAAAAAGTTGGTATGCGTTTTTGGCAGTTATACATGTAGAAAAATATTTTAGTATTGCCGGGAGCTGACCTAATCACGATAATTTTGAACATAAAGCATCTGCTTTGGTATGTCTTTTTTAAATTAACCTTCACATCTAAGCTTTTAAAATAATTTTATTTTCTAAGATTTATCACAGGTTGTTCTTTATTTTTATGTATATTTTGATTTGGGCAGGTATAGGTGAGATTTTTTTTGTTTATATACAATTTTATATTCGTGTCAAACACTATTTCTACAATTTTTTATTTATATATATTTAGTATATAACTTATTTACTTCTATGTATTAAATGTGTGTTTAAACAATAGACTTGAGTATTTCGGTAAATTTTAATACAGTTTACAATAAATGTAGATAATGGTTTCAGAATTAGCGTTTGTATAATTCAAAATATCATTTTATATTCGTCATCAATAAATATTATAAAAAATGAAATATGTTTATATATTTTACAAATTTTAAACACATTCTTTTTGATTTGATTGTTCACTGTCTCATGTCATGTCATACTAAGAGTGTAGGGTTATTCGTAATCACTTCTAAAATTTTTATCGTCGAATAAAATTTATACAAACTCAAAATGTGTTATTAAAGGCCCTAGCGGATATTTCCCGAAATACCCAATGTTATGAAGAAAAGTTATTTTGGCTGGCCATCTTCGATGCCTCATTTATTGAACCATTCACTCTTTAAAATAGTTCTTATGCATTATTGTTATTAAATGTTCTTCCTCCGAGTTGGTGTGGAAAAAGAAGACATCTGATGAGTAAGGTACGTGAGATCGAGGAAATCAAAGTAGTAACTTGGCAAATATGGTATTTTTTGGTGATATAATCAATTAAAACTACCAAGTTCGCACATAGTGACTGTGAGTTTAGCTATCTTCATAATTATTTGATATGATTATCCCCTTAGTACACTGGTTTGACTGTAGTTTTGTCTGAGGTACGAAGTATTCCTACAACGCTTGTTTTGTTTCATTGTAAACAAATTTGTTTTGATTTTTGATATCATAATAACTGACTCACTTTCAATCGACGGTTTAGTGCCGTTATATGAATGTTCTTTACAATATACTTTATAACAAAGTAGAATCCATTTCACCTAAAAGGTATATATAACGTAATTTCTGAGGCCATTTCATAAGTTGAACTGTATTTTTTTTATAATTTACTGAAATCTGTATAATATAGCTTGGTCTACCAGCTAAAGATGCTTTGCTGATCGATAAAAAAATACATGCATACTGCATAAGGTGCTTTAAAAAATATTAATTGTATGAATCTCAAAAAGTAACAACAAATGTGTTCAACAAAGATTTAAAAAAATATAGAGTATGCAAAAATTTTATGTCTTAACCACATTCCATATACTTATTGATAATAAAGTGTCTATCAATATGATGTTGATATTTGAAAAATTTTATTTGTTCTCGACAATTTATGGTAGCTATTTTAAGCTAATTTAGAATATAAGAGACCTCCACGTTTCATAGTTAATGACAATAAGTGCCACAAAATTAAGTCTGATCTCAATTCCTTCGATTTTATGTAGACCAGTACGTACAAACTATAAAAAAAGGATTAAATGATTACATTTATATTTGATTTCTCTTTTTTTTTTTTTTTCAAATAAACATCAGAAACTGGGAAATATTTAATGATTTCACAGTACTCCTAACTGAAAGTATTGATATATACATGACCACATACAATATAGAAACTTGAATAACCAAAACTGAAGATACATAATAATAAAAGGAGGAAGATTTCAAGAAAAAAAAGGCATCATTAGGTATCCAAGGGGAAGATTACTGACATAATCAAGCGATATGATAACATATGAATTTTACAGTTGTTTTTATTCGAAATAAATAAGTTTTAAAGAGAGGGGAGTGATATCAGTGTCCAAGATTTAATAAAGTTGGAATACTCAGTAATAGTTATCTTTCTTAGTCCAGGCCAAACTAAAAGTCTCGCCCACTGATGACTCAACAGTGAATATTACATAGGTCGTGAAAAATAGGCCATCGCATAAACCGGTCGATCTAACAGCCTACAGGCCACTGATCCGACGAATGGTTCTTTATATGATAACTTTGACTAATACTTAGGGGAAAAGATGAAAACTCCCTGCCTGTTTGATGAAGCTATAGAAGTCCTTCACTTTAATACCACACATATACGTGGGGCACGATTTTCAGCGATGATTAATATTGATAAATACACATTGGACCATTTAAACGCATTGTAAATAAAAATGACAACATTAATGTTGATGGTGATGATCGCAAAACAATCCTTGTAATCAATTAAGTGTGAATTAAAAAATTGTAACAGTGTTTTCACTCATTTGAAGAATCGATCATGCGTAAAGTTTGCCCGTATTGTTCACGGCACCAGTAGGTGAGTCCCGAATTGGGCAGATTTTATAAGACGAATCGCGGTTAATTCAACTGATATATAACATGCTTGTCATTTAATCAATTTTTATTAATTTTGCGTGTTGGTTTGCATATTATAGGTGTATCCAAATAAACAGTTTAATCCAAATATACCTTTGTTGGGCTAAATGTTGAAACTTACAAATTTAATTTTAAATATATGAACCATGACATGTATTTTTTATAACGCAATAACTAGTTGTCTTTCTATGTGTTGAAAATGTTGCAAATATTTATTAACTGGAAAATATGAACTAGCTCGTATTAAGCATAGCAAAGGTTTTGTTTAAAACGAAGCAAAATGACGTACATAAATGCATTTTGTTTGCTTTCCTTTTGTTTTTAAGATATAGTAACAATATTTATAGCTGTGAGTGTGTAAAATTAACGAAAAAAGCGAACGAGCGGACATAAATGAATTATTAAGGGAAAGTCGCAGTAATTGCGTACTTTTTAGAACCCAGGAATTAACGATAAACCATTAAACAATTTGAAGTAGATATACTCAACCAAATACGTTATTTGGGCACGTTTTCTGTGAGATATGCAACAATGTCGTGCAGCAGACTGTGCAATCTAACAGTCATTCTGCACAATTTTTAAGTTCATTCGCTGCTGGACTAGATTCAAAATAGTGCAGCTGTAATTCCATATATTAATAAATACACTTGTGCCAAAAACTCATGTTATTTTTGCAATTTTATTTTTGTTTATAGCAGTTTTAATCGATGTATTTGCACATTAATATTAATAACATTCAGTCTTATTTATAGATTTTACAAATTATGTACTTTTAGAAGGATGACTAGTTGATGCCTTAATGTTTAACATTTTCCGCAGAGCTTATCGGATATAACAAACTATTTTTCGCCGATAAGTAATTCTGCTTTGAAACAAACTACCTAGTATTTAGTTTTTATATAAATGAATGTATTTGTGGTATTACTCAAAGTAGATGCACCTGAGGATGGTCGTATTTTACTTTATCCCTGTCTAATACAGAATTCGGATTTTGAACAGCAATTTTTCTATAGTGTTGCTTTATTTTAGGTATAGTTGTTCGTACATAATTCACATTTGTTTTATTTTTTAATTTTATTTGAATAAAGATGTTTGAATAAAATAATTTTTTGTGTTATTGCCATAACCATCTGCATGAGATCCCTCACAAAATACGTTTAAATAACTATACACAGATTTGAATAATTTAACAACTAAAACCCAAAATACTATCGAAGAAATCAATAAAAACGCTGATATCGATAAATTAAGGTAGACAATGGGGGACAAAATGTATCAGAACTATGTGCAAGCACTCTACAAATGAGTTGAGAAGTACAAACAGCGGCCAAGCACAGACCGAAGAAGATAAACTAAAAATGTATGCAGAAACTTTATTAATTGGTAAGTTTATTCAATACTATAGAAATGAGAGACACATCCTTTTTGATAGATATGGGTACGATAACAACCATTACACGACAAGAAATAGTAAGAGATAATCACTGACATCATTACAACTTAGAAAACTCTCTCTCTCTTTTCAGCAACCTTTGGGCACTACAGCCCAAATCGAGCCTTGGTCTTTTCCAAACTTGCCGGTCTTCTCCAGATTCTTACGATCTAGACTAGAACAACAACTGGTGAGACATTTAAAACATAAAACGAATATACTAGTATGTACAATTACTTGGCCCCGATGAAGTAAGTGCTGAAATACTAAAGTTTTTATGAGAAAATGGAATTAAAGCTCTGTGTAATCTCTTTAACAGAATTTATGACACTGGGATATTACCAACTGATTGGTTAAAGTCGACATTTGTCACAATACCTAAGAAACATCGTCCAAAGACATGCGGTGATTATCGGACAATAAGTCTGATGAGTCACGTTTTGAAAATCTTTCTGCGAGTAATACACAGCAGAATTTATACGCTGTTAGAGGACAGAATTAGCAATACTCAATTTGGGTTTAGGAGTGGCTTGGGCACAAGAGAAGCCTTGTTTAGTATACAGGTGCTAGTACAGAGATGCAGAGATATAAATCAAAATGTGTATATTTGTGCAATCGATTTTGAAAAAGCTTTTGACAAAGTCCGATATAACAAAATGCTAGAAATATTGGAAACAGCTGGATTGGACGATAAAGATCTACGAATAATTAGAAATCTATACTGGCATCAAGTGGCAAGAATAAAGGTTGAACAAGAACTGTCGGATGAAATAAATATAAAAAGAGGAGTGAGACAAGGCTGTATATTGTCGCCTTTACTTTTTAACTTATATTCGGAGGAAATATTTAAGGAAGCCTTAATGGAGACAACCGAAGGTATTATTGTGAATGGAGTAACCGTCAACAATATTAGATATGCCGACGATACCTTAGTCCTTGCCAATTGCGGAGAAGACCTTCAAAATCTAATGAACAAAATAAAACAGACTTGTGATCAGTATGGATTAAAACTCAACGTTAAGAAAACTAAATATATGATAGTTAGCAAACAAAATTATATACATGATGACGGTATAAAAGTCGGAGATGCCACACTGGACAGAGTAGAGAAACTCGTCTATCTCGGCAGTAATATCAATGAGAGCTGGGATCCAACCGCAGAAATTAAAAGCCGAATAGAACAAGCCCGAGCTGCCTTTGTAAAAATGAGAAACGTACTTTGCAGTCATGATCTTAGCATTGACCTTAGAGTTCGTATGATATCTTGCTACATCTTTCCTGTCCTGCTGTATGGAGTAGAAGCGTGGACCCTAACTGAGGCTATGCTTAAACGCTTGACATCCTTTGAGATGTGGGTATACAGACGACTACTGAAAATAAGCTGGGTCGACAGAGTTAGAAATGAGGAGGTCCTTAGACGGCTGAACCAAACAACACAACTGGTCAATATAATAAAGAAACGCAAGCTGGAATACTTCGGTCATATTATGAGACACCCTGAAAAATATGATCTTTTACATCTGATCATTCAGGGAAAGATCCAAGGTAATCGTGGTCCTGGTAGAAGAAGAACATCATGGCTGAAAAATCTAAGGCAATGGTATGGAAAATCAACTACATCGTTATTTAGAGCTGCTGTCAATAAAGTCACGATAGCGAATATGGTAGCCAACATGATATCCAACGATCGGTAGCGGTCATGGAACTAGAAGAAGAAGAAGTATGTACAAAAAACAAATCTAGTATGTACTGGCTAGTCATCAGCATTATGTCTCGCAGAACGGAGGAGGCGGTAGAAATATATTCACAATTAAAAACCGGAGCAAAAGAGACTGGACTAGAAATAAATATTCAAAAAAGCTAACACAGACGAGAGCTAGGGGAAACCGATGCACAGTTGAAGTAGAGGACGATATTAAAAATATTGTTCTGAAGCTATTTTCTTGTGGCATTTTAAATTAATTACTATTTAAATGGGAATAAGCCACAATTAAAGGTTAAAGTACGTTTATTGACGTTTCAATTTCCACTTCGGAAATCGTTCTCAAAATACAAAGAGTAAATTGACTAAAGTATTACTTTTGCACATCCTACATTTTTGCAATATCGTCTCTTTTTGTAATGTGACCAATATTGCCGAATCTGGTTTCATCTGGTAAAGCAAATTTAGATTGACGTCCATGTACTAAATTTGACACTGATGTAGCGGTTTCTTCACTATTATAATAAATATAAACCTATGTCGGCTCATGCTTTCGCTTATAATGTGCACTTCTTTATCCTCATCCTTTGACCAATGCATATCAACTTGAAGCAGAGTGTAAACCAGATAATATGCATATGCTAATAATTTTTTTTTAAATCTATGTCATTCATTTCAAAATCGTGACGGTTATTCTGGGATGCATAAATATTTATAAAATATAGAATGCTCTCAATTACTTTTTTATAAAAAAAGAGTGAAAAAACTTCCAATATATGATTTGTCTTCCTGGTTGGCTTTTATATTGTCTAAATATCAATCAGACTGATTACTACTGAGCATGAATGAGTATTTTTTTATTTAATTAGATGGCGTTGGTAAAGACCAATTAGCCAGGAGTATATGTTGTTACAACTTGAGACAAATTTGGATTTACTATTTTTGCCTATTATGGTTTTTTCTTTGGACGTTTTATCTGTGGTTCGGAGTACATCTGTTTCTCAGTATATTTTTCTAATTATCATTTCCATTTGTGTACTTAGTAGGTAAGTTCCATTGGTCTTTTTTAGGTATGTAAAAAGCGATATAAGCCTCTGTATTCAATAGATTTTTTTGAATACATAAAAATGTTGACAACTTGTTTATTATTTACCTTGCAGCTTTCCATGATATTCTTTGTTTGTTCAATCTCGGCAGTAATGTGATTTCTTCCTCGGAAATTAATTGATGTGGTCTCTTACTTCTCGAAATACTTTTTCTTTGATCCTTTTTTTGTTTCCCATATATTATACGTTGATCTGAAAATAAACAGCCTTGCTTATCATTCTTTTTAGTTTTTTTTAGTATTTTTATCAGTAATATCAGTATTCGAAGGTAATTCGAAGTAATTCTTGACGATTTTTCCTACAATTTCAAATATTTTTCAGTGCCATTTAGTATATTCTTAGTGTTTGAATAATAATTTGTAATAAAACAAAACAGTTAAACTATGTTGCTTGAAATTGTTCTTACCAATGTAATAATAATGCACCACGGGACTCAAAATGCCTTTTATTTATATTATTTAATTTAAATTCGCTCATTTTTAGAGAAAAACGTAACAACTGAGTGTCACATTGAAAGAATAATACTTCTTGTTCAATACTGTAACAAGTGAAGTTGTTGCACTATTGAACTAAAACATTTATAAATTTGGAGTTGTTACATAAATTGATTGTACCATCTACGAATTAAAAGACGAATCACGACTTATTTCAGTATTGAAATTGCCAGATAAATGTATCAGAAATGCCATGATTGTAATAACTCAAATTTGAATTTTTTTTTGACTTGTTACGCTATTGAACTGAAGTATCGAAATCTTAGATGACTCTATCTCCATCATTAGATAAGCCTCTGTTCCTCCAGTTCATTTTACCAAATATATTTTCTAGGAATATATTGGAAATTTTTTAACGGAACATAGGATTTTTAATACAATTACTGAGAGTCCCTTATTTGCAATTAACCAATGTAAATTTCAATACAACGTCGCGATGTTTTATTATAATTAATATGTTTGTTTCATTGGACTGCTGCTCTGTCGTGATTTGTAGCAGCATATTTGGTACGGGCACAGAATAATAAACAAACGGAATGCCCACTCTCCACGGAAAATTAAGTACGCGCATCTCCTTCGTGCAGACGTTCCGCCATGTTTTACGCGGATTTTAAAGGGAACCAGTGTTGTTTATGTGGTGTGCATGGAAAAAAACCAGGTTTATTTGACTTACGGCAATCATAGACATACTATGCAATTATATTAACAGTTTTAAATATAATAACATAAATACAATATAATTAAACATAAATGTAAACAATTGCATAACCTCACAAATCATATGTTTGTGTCCTCCTAAAACATGGCGCGCGTGCTGAAAAACTTCAAAGGCGGCATCTGAGAGTGGCCCTTCTGATTGTTTGTTATTCTGTGGTACGGGTACGCCGACATGTTGTTCGTAAAAATTTGGAATATTCGTAATTCTGTATTTTTGTGCAGATAATAATGTTTTATTAACAACAATTTTGTTAGTGTTCATTAGGTATTATTTGAATTGGTTAAATTGTACTTTAATACATTTATTATTCCAAACATGGTTTATAATTTAAAATTTAAAAGGGTGTATATTATGGTGTATCGAAATCTACTGTTTTTTGCCAAAGGTATCTACCGATTTGACAACAGCCCCAAGGAACATCACTGGCCAAGCAAATCAAATACCTTTGCCTCTCATTATAATGCCATAAGCTAAAATTTAAGTGGTGTTTCTAACCATGTATAGAAACGAAGAAAAAGTACAAATTTTAAAATAGTATTTTGAAGACAACTCGTACCGTGACATTATAAATTTATTTACTTGTACCTATGAAGATAGGCCAATACCGACACAATCAACTATTAGTCGTATTAGTCGAAAATGAACGGA